CCTTTTCTTTCCTTTCCTCCTTTTGCCGTAGAACCAAACTGACCTAAAGGATTCAACAACTAACCTCATTAATGCTATGGAAGATTGATACTACAGTAAACATTTCTCCGATGGACTGCAATCCTTTCAGCACAGGAAAAGAAAGTTACTGTACAAAAAGTCAAAATCACTGTTCATAAAATAGTGAAAGTATATTCGTTTACTGTTCATCAACAGTAAAAAAGATAGATTCGGTTACTTGTTCATCAATAGTATTTTTTACTTTTTATTTTCTATATATTGTGAGCTATTGAAACGAAGAAACATCTTCGATATTTGCTCTTATCTATCCTCTCTTGTATCTATCTTCTCTTATATAAATATTCCATAAAGTAATTGTGTTAGGTTCAGTGCTTTTTCTGGATAATATATATAATTTTTTTGGAATTTCTATAGAAAATTTAAGATTGTGTTGTGTGGGAATTAGTGGGGATGTAATGTATTATGTGATAATAAAAAAATAATAAAAAATTTTAAAAAAAAATTATGGTAGCATGTTACATATATAGAAAATCATACATATTATATAGATATATACTCATCAAATTTTGCCCTTTTTCTGGATAAACTAGCCTAGGTGAAATCAGTCTTAAACATTAATTGGTCTTAGGTTCAAAAAAATAAATAAAGAAAATAAGAAAATTATAGTTAAAAAAAAAATTCAAAATTCCTATTAAAAATAACATTATAGCCGTTTTAAACATTAATTGGTCTTAATGGCTATATTCGCCAAAAAAAAAAAAAAAAATTCGTTTTTTTTGTTTTTTCCTAACAAAATGAAATTTATTTTAAACAATAATTTTTTTACCTTTGTTTTCATCTTTATAAATAAATACATATTGCGGTTAGGAAAAAGTAATAAAAAAAATTATTAAAATAATATTTTTGAAGAGCAAAATTACACCATTGGAGCACCTGGATAGCAAAAATAAATTTTAGAGCCTCCGTTTGAGATGTTCTTGGCCTTTCATTCCTTGCCTCAACAATTGAATTTGTGCTTCACAAGCCAAAAATTGTCTTTAGGTTTTGAAGAAATGAGAACAAAAGCGTGAACCCTGCTGCTTCTTTAGTCCTAATGAGTTCATGATAAGTTTGTGGATCTCTGGCCTCTTTTTGACCCTCCAACTAAAGCAACTTTCTTTGTTATTATTATTTTTTTTAAAGTTCTTTATTTTATTTTAGTAGGTGAGTTTTTGAGTATGATTGATATTGTGATATGAATGTAAGAAATAATCTCTAAAAAATAAAATACATGAGTCTTTAATTTTTTTTTGTCAAATAATTATCAAAGCATAAATGCAAGAGAGAGGTGGGTGGGGGTGGAGAGAGAAATCGGTTAATAAAGTTACTTGGACAAATTAAAAGTTTTGGTATTAAAAATAAGTTAAATCTTCATAAAGAGTTTTGATTTTCACTTTAAAACATACTTAGGAGCCAAACAGCACAAAATATTTTTCAGAAAATATTTTTAAAAACTCAGCCAAACACTAGAAAAAATAATGTAGACAATTGGTAAACAGTCGACAATAAGATATTTCATTTAACAACAATCAATACTGCTTTGACAATAATAACAGTCACTCCTAAGATACATTTACCCGACCTCAATGGAAAAGGTCCTAAAATTTACTTTGAAGAAAAAAACAAAAAAATATTTACTTTATTATCTGTCCTTTAAATAAAGGTCTTACATCAGCGTGACATATGTGTTGACGAGAATTTTTGAAAATAAAATAAATATATTATATCAAAATACAACACCGCCGATTAAATCAAACATACCCATCATTAGTGTTGTGTGGCATATAAAAAGGGAAAAACATGATTTGGCTGAATAATAATTATTATTATTATTTATTTATTTATTTATTTTTTTTTTGTGAGGGGCACGGCATTTTACAATCTGATTACCTATCATTAATTAACCAGTTTACACCATATATTTCAACCCCCAAAAGAGAATGAAAAAATAATAGTAATAAAAAAAAAAAAATTGTTACCTTGAGATGAGATCTAAGCAGGACAAAAACAAGGGATAGAGAGGAATGGCAGAAAACGATGGGTATGGGTGGAGTTGGCAAGCATTTATCTTTGGAAATCTTGTAACCATCGAACAGATTTCCTTGCCAAAACAACCCACACCCACAACTTCCCGCACCCATATCTCCCTTTCCCATTTCTTGCTTTCTCTTTCTATATGTATAGATTTCTCTCTCTATATATATATCCATGGAAAAATTGGAGAAAACAGAAGGAGGTTTCTCCTCTCCTTGCATCAGATCTAAATCTAGCAATAGAGACACTGAAGTTTGGCTATGGTATTTATTTATAGAGAGATTGGTCACCTACTGGTATTGGTTGGGTAAGTGGAGTCTGACTCACTGTTAGCTGTAATTTCGGGTAGGGTTTAGCTTTTTAGGACGAAAACGTCCTTGTTTTAATGGTTGGTTGACGAAAATATCCTCGACTACTTGTTTATTATCTTGAGAGCCCTTCCAAATAGCTTTCTCTTTCTATATGTATAGATTTCTCTCTCTATATATATATCCATGGAAAAATTGGAGAAAACAGAAGGAGGTTTCTCCTCTCCTTGCATCAGATCTAAATCTAGCAATAGAGACACTGAAGTTTGGCTATGGTATTTATTTATAGAGAGATTGGTCACCTACTGGTATTGGTTGGGTAAGTGGAGTCTGACTCACTGTTAGCTGTAATTTCGGGTAGGGTTTAGCTTTTTAGGACGAAAACGTCCTTGTTTTAATGGTTGGTTGACGAAAATATCCTCGACTACTTGTTTATTATCTTGAGAGCCCTTCCAAATAGCTTTTCAAAAAATTAAGTTTAGATATACTTGTGTGCCAATCCTACGTGTATAACAATCCCCTTTTTACAACCTGACAATTTGGAATTGTCCACATATAGTTTGCCACCTCACACCTGCCCATGCACATTTGCACCACGTAGGTGGCCGCATTCACCTTCTTTAGGAGTTAACTTGCTCGTTGACCACACTTTCAATTAAATTAGACTCTAATATCATTTGTAACGGTACACTCCACATGATACGAGGCTTTTGGGAGTAAATCTTGAGTCCCTTTGGATTGTTTTTCAAAACATTTGGTAAAAATGTGTTAGTAACCATTAAAAACGTTTTTAATAATTACCAATTTTAACTTAGTAGACTTTTGAATGAAGTTAAAATTTAAATATTTTAAAACTGAATTCCTAGTAGACATTAAATATTTTAGGCAATTCTTTTTTCTCTAACAAATTTGTCCTTTTTTATTTTTATAAAGACAATTACACTCCTTTATTTATAAATTAGCTATTAACAGCGGGTCAGTAATTAAAACAAAGAGGAAAGTGGTGTCAGACTCTTTCTTAAAGCGAGGTTAGGGATTCTAGCATTAATAGAGGTATGTGTGAGGGGTGAGTATCAACTAGGAAAAGAAAAAAAAAAATTACTATTCTAAAATTAGCAATATAAGTCTTTTGTTTTAAAAATATTGTTACCAAAAAAGTAAAAAATAATTTAATTATGAAAAGTACGTACTTATTATAATGTACCACCAAAATGCCTAACATGCTTGTCTGCAACAACAATTTTTACTAACAAAATCGTTAATTTTATTTTTTAATTATTATTATTATTTATTCTAATAGCAACGCAAAGTGTGTATTAAGACAAAAATAAAATAATACTCTTTCCGTTCCAAAAAAAAATAATGTTCCTTTTTGAGAATCTAGCCTTTTAAGATGATGATTTGTAGTATTTTATTATTATTATTATTATATTGATATTGAGAATATAGGAACATTACAAGTTTGGAAATGAGAAATTTATTTTAAACTTTTTAAAAAATTCTTGGTGGTGAATTCAAAAAATCGAATTCATAACTCACGAATCGGATCACGAATTGGAGCACTAAAATTCAATCCGATTCGTGAGATTTATATATATATATTCAAATAATGTATTAGTTAATGATTATTTAAAAAAAAAAAAAGAATTAATGTTGATAAATTGAAATTTTATTTATTGAGTTATGATTAAAAAATAAAAAATATTGGACTATTTAAGACAAAATCTAATCAAATCCGAATTATAGATTAATAGCGGATTCAGATTTTTCCAATCCATTAAGAGCGAAACGAGCATTTGATCCGATCCATCATTTAATATTTACCAGATTGGTAGCGAATTTAAATTTTTTCAATTCATTGAATGCGAATCGAACATCGGATACATATATTTTTATACATAATATTCACATTTCAGATTTTTACACTTGGATTGTCACATCCTAAAGAAAGACTCGATATAAGTGATAAAGTCTTCTAGATTATTGTGAAGTATTATAAAGAGAGTTTGAAAGATTCTAAAATATCAGAGTGATGTAGATATTTGTAAAAAGTGAGAAATTTCTGAAAGAGTAGGGTTTTGTAGAGGGTAAAAATTAACATATTTATATAAGACGTTTTTAGAAAGTAGATAAAATGCCTATATAAGGTAAGGATGTTTCATTTGTAAACAACATCATCCATAAAACTTACTTTTTAAAAAAAATTTGGAGGTCTCCATATAGAAATGATGAGTGAAATTGAACAAAATAAAATTGTACAAAAACTAAATTTATCCTAATTTCATTTTTAATGCACCAATTTCATATCTTATTCTTTTTATTTACTATTCATTTTATTTATTATTCGTTTTGGTCCTTTTTTATTTATTATTCATTTTATTTATTATTCGTTTTAATGCACCAATTTTTCCATAAGCACAGTCTAGATAGTGAAGAAATAAATAAACTTTCAAAATCTTATTTTTGAGAAGTTTTTGAAATTCATATCAATCATGTTCAACCAGCTCAAGTAATGGCATAGCGGTGAGAGAGAGTATGGATCGTACGTGAAGTAGTTGGGGGAGAAAGTGAGAAACAAAAAATCTACAAGGGATTGAATTGGTACTTGACAACATGCACTCAGGGCCATCCAAATCTCTAAGCAAAAAATCATCACACAACATTTTTTGCCATGCCACAAATGCATAGTTCATCTTTCTATACAACTGATATGTAGAGCATTATAAGCCCATTCTAGCATTTTAAAAAAAAAAATGTACTCTTTCATGCATATACTTTAATATATTTCGTGTATCTATAGTAGAATGGCGAGGGTTTCAAGCTAAAAACTAGAATAAATTTTCAAAATTGCCTCCTCCCAGATTCCACATCTTCCACTGCCAAACTGCCCATGAATGCATCGCTGTTTCTTGCTTCCTGCTGATTTTCAGTTTCAGCCTCTGGAGTCACCCCGTTGTGTGAGTTTGTGACTGCATGTGTCATTGCACGGGATTCCTCCAGTACGCGAAAGTAAGCATAAGGTCCCCAGCCTATACATAGCAACAAGCAGAAGCTTAGGTCACGGATATTTAATCGAAGAACCAATAACCACAGCATTAATAAGATTACAACCAGCGTTACACCGCTTCAATCTCGATAACCTATTAGAATATCAAGCATTCTGCTGACTAGAGTGCGGACCACTCGGAGAAATAACATTTACAAACTTTATTACATTGACGTCAAGAAGCCTGCCCGGCTGAGAATAAAAAATTAACATGACCATTGCACCATTTAAACAAGGTCCACACCAAAAAATGGTACTCTTTTTAGTTGTAAGAAACTCCATATGATAGCTTCCTAACCAATTACTGTACCACCTGCATATTTTAAATTACATATCGATGTTGGATTCACCAACCCATGTGAACAACCGAAATGTCCAACCATGTCCAGTGAACCAATTTTTTAGTGTCAAGTATAAGGTACCTCTTCCACAAGTATATCTTTTCTTTCTATATTAAATAAGATATAAATTTGATTAATTTATCTGAAATTGATATACAAACAAGTGCTTAAGTTGGAAAATGAAGCTCAGCAATTATCATGATGGTATTTATATCATTATAGAAGTACTACTCCACCGCCAAAGGCTGTAGCCTAGTGGTATCTCTATCTCCCAAAGTCGGAGGTGAGAGTTCGAGTCCCCGTTGGTCCCCAATGGGGGTGTGAGTTTCTTGCCTAAGAAAAAAAAAACGTATAGTACTACTCCCACTGCTATCCGCTGCATATGATATCAAAACCCTTCTTAAATTGTGAACTTTTTGGATGCATCAGACAGTTTCCAGAGTTTCACTTCATTACAAACATAATTCTTATTTATTAAGTATATTTGATGCATACAAAGAACCTAATTTTTCATTGTATATGGAATCCCAAAAATTAAAATAGATAGTCATTTTCAATCATTTCGAAGAACCGTAAAATCTAATCAACGATGTAACTTGTTGCTAGCACAATCCTGATGGATCTTTAAATGCCATTTCTACCACCGACTTTCCCTGAACAGACAAGAAAAAAGATAAAGAAAAGAAATACCAGCATACCTTCAGCATGATACGGAGGTGGAAAGAAGTGCAAATAGCAAAACGTGGCCACTACAAGGCCTGCAAAAAGAATATATTTATATATAACTCAGTGCAGTAAGCATCTATAAGTTTTAATTACTAATTAGTAATAGAAATGACAGAACATGATAGAAAAATTGAACCAACCTAGGAGACCTCCAGCAAAGACATCTTGCCAATGGTGCCGGTAGTCATCTACTCGAGAAATGCCAATTAGAGATGCAACGAGTAGAGGAAGAACAACAATGCATAGTTTTGCAACATGGCCTCTATGATCAAATACTTTTATCTTTCCAGATAAATACAGTGACAGAAAGCCCAAACCAGCAAAGGACCCTGCAAATTGAATCCCAAACCCAAATCCACATAGTTAACAAGTCTGCAAGAAAAATTATGGTGAACGTAGCTTCGCTATTGCGTATAGATGAAATTATACATTTTACCATTATGAGACCTTATATTTTATAAATAAATTTAATTGCTCCAAATAATATAATATCCAACCATAGTGAAATGAAACAGTAAAAGAATAAAATAACCATCTAGAGATACAGTATGTTGCTAGATTCTACCATCTAAATATACAGATATGGTGCTACCGTGCCAGATGCTGCTTACATGAAGTATGCCCACTTGGAAAACTTTTATGCCCTTCCTTTATGATACTTTTCTCACCGTGACATATAACATTACCCAATTGATCATAAAGCTGAGAAGCAATCAAATATAAAGTATCGTAAAAAATAGTGCAGCATGAGGGATAAAATTAATTAATGAAGATCTATAATCGTAGTGGAGCATACATCCTTTCCATCTGGAAAACAACGCCAGAAAAAGTCTGGACGAGGCCGACCCACTGCATCCTTTATTGAATCTGTGATAACCGCCGTTACCAGAGCAGCGAATAAAATACCTGCTCTACAAACAAATTCCGATTATCAGTTCTATTTTTGAGAAAATGGTTCATTCTGTTGATTGCAAGCATGAAGAGTATTTCTTGATAAAAACAGAACCGAGTTGAAAGATTTTGTCACCTAGTGTCGCGTGATGTAGATCATAGACGTCTCTCCTATGAATATAGAAACCAAAAAAAATGGCCATAGGCAATATAACTGCATACACCTAATTGAACAAAAATAAAAAGATGAACGTAAGAGAACTCACCGGTGGCAGTATTCATACGGCAATACAACTATGGTGGTATTTAAATAATGATGGCAGATAGTAACTTACAGGAACAGCCCATATAGGAACGGTGTTAGATTTCAAGGGATACTTGAGATCAGTCATCATATCTTTCCCAACAAAGCGATAAAATGGATTGATAACATTCAGAATGAGAACCATTGCCCCAAGAAGCATCAGTATAAGCCAGTCATAACAGTGTGTCCTTGCCACTGTGACTCCATGGGACCTTACAGTATGCGACCCAAGCTGGACTTCTCTCATTCTTTCCTATTAAATATACAACAGGCCAAAAAGAGAATTAGGGTATAGAGAGTCAAACTGCAAGCAGCTGCCCTAGCAAAGGCTAGGAAGGTTAAAACTCTAAAAAGACTGATTGCTAGCAATAGTAAATAAAAATGAATAAATAATCATCTGCTGCTGCAATTGTGTAATTAATCATGTTTAGTTTGTATCTTACATAAGTACTACTACGATCAGCAATTTCTTTAATAATTCCTATAGAAAGACCAATAAAGTCCCAAAGTACACTGATTTGGCATGTCATAGGTAAATGCAACAACTGCCTAAGTCATGACAGTGATGCCAATGTCAATATGATGATAACATGAATCCTAATAATAACTGTGGCATAGAATATGTAAATCATTCTTTTGTCAAGGGAAAAAAAAAATAAAGAAAATGTAAACCACAAGAAAAAGTGACAGCATATATGAATGTTGTATTTCCATCAAGAACTGCAGTGACAGTTAAAAGTTAAAACACTATGAAGACGTGATGCCTATAAGCAATATATGAAGTATATACTACAATTGGAATACCAGATAATTCTACTCTTAAGCACAATCAACTGGACACAGCATAAAGAGAGTATAAGACCTAGTAGATGAGCAATATAAATATCTTGCACATGGAGACCCAATAAACAGTTAGTTCAACCTATATTTTAAATGATTTCACATGTTATTAATCCATAATGTCGTTCTGCATGTATGCTGGGATTTCTGGGCAACTTTAGGAAGCATATAAACTCAGATGCTGAAAATCTCCATTACATATGAAACATTGACTATTTTCATTTCTACTGTGATCATTGAGAAGGCTACAATTCATTTTTCCGTTGCATATATATGCCACGGTTAGTATTTTAGCAGTATATAAAATGATATAAACAACTTACGGAAACTTATCAATGCCAAATAATGTCTCTGTGAACATAATTTAACTAATAAATGGTTCTGAGCAAGTAAAACTATCTCGAACAGTTAAAAAGTACTCAAGGTTGTACAGTATTGTTAAACTTGAAGCCTTTTGACAGTTGATGCTCAGTCTGTTAGTCTATCCGCATATAGAAAGAAAAAGAAGTGCAGAAAATCCAACCTCGGAACCTTGTGAACAAAGAAACATATTTTTAAACAGTGTTACAATTGTCATCACATTCAAATTATCTGGGATGGCTGGCTTATTCAAGAGGTCAATGAATGGACTCTTATATACTACGATGTCATATATTAGATATAATACCTGAAAAAGAGATAACCATACAAAAAAGCTTGGAACATCTGATAATATTTGACCTTTCAACTCCCAATTTACATCAAAGATATCTGAAAATATTGAACTTTCATCTCCTAATTTACATCAAAGAGACTAAACTCTTGTTTGTTTCCCTCAACTACAAGTCTATAACAAACCAATGATCCCACCATAAGTGCATCATTCCAGATATCAGCAACAATCATTTAAACAAAAATAAATAAAAAATAATAATACCTCTTGGTTCTTGTATTCTAACAATGGAAAGTGGAGGGGCGAAAACCAAGCGCTAGTAACTGCAGAAAGCTCCAGCCTCTGGCTTGCTACATCCTACATGACCCTCAACAAATCAAATCTTTATGGAAAAAACTCCCTAGCTCTATTTTTATTTTTGGGTAAGTCCCAACTCTTAAAAGTTCACTTCAAATGTGAACTTTATTGGTATAGGACTCATCGATGATGAAATTGGTCCAACTTCTCAACGTTGATCTAACTTCTTAAGGGTCTGTGGACCAATACAAGGTTCAAAACATATGCTATCTGTCGTTGGTATATAAAATACACAATACAATCATATATTACACAGAAAAAACTCAACACACCTAAAAACAACATCTCATAGAAAATTTTAAGTGCAAACATTGGTAGTTGTACTTTACAATACTATCTAAAATCTCAACAAGAATTTGGATTTTTTTTTTTTTTTCTTAGTTGGGACTCACACACACTGCCTCCACTAAAGTTCAAACCCCTGACCTCCCTCTGGGAAGTAGGAGCCTTGTACCGCTAGGAATCCATATGTACAGTTGCCACTACCAACTCATGAGGGCCTCCCATGAAGAAAAGTCAAAAATGATCCAAGCTCTTCTCAAACAATGCAGTTTACACATTATGTCTTCCAAGAATCCAGAAGCAGTAATCTTTTGGTAAATTTTATACTTATTATTTTTTTTATTATTAATCAGAAAACTCAGCAGTCCATAACCCAAGAGGACATTTTTCTCTGGTGTTCCAAATATAATTTTTCGCAGCCAGAAACCAGTAGAGATCTGCAATTTGTTATTTGAAGTCCGCTTTCACCCACTATGAATGTATAGACAACTCAACTTTGTTATTTCAGAAGCTTAAAAACTAAGGTTACCAAGGCGAGTAGACAAATAAAATATATATATATATATATATATATATATATATATATATGTATGCATATAGCTCTTCTCGCTCGCATCTAGTTCAGCCTATTGAAGCTCGCAGTACACTGTGGCTATCAATAAAAGTTCTATTTGGTCCAGTTCCGTTTCTTATCTATTGCTTTTAGTTGCCTGTTATTTGTAGCTCACTACATGGAAGTCATCACAGAGTGCAATAACTCCTGTGCATATACAAAAGTCATTGCTGTTGTTGTTGGTGGTCCTATTGTCATTATCCTTGTTGATTTGCATCATTTGACATCATGATTGAAATTTGTTATCCTTTCTTAAAGAAAATAAAGGTTGGACGCTTTGAGGTGTAGTTCCAAAATTATCGGACAGGACTGATCTTAAATGTGTTTGTATTATATAAGACTTGTATTAGAATGCGTTGGTTAAGTTAGTTTCATTTTATGGACACATCCATGAAGTGTTAGACACATGTCTAGTAGTTTGTGTGAAGTGTCAATGTCCAACACATGTTCCCAAAAATATGTCACCTTTGTAGAAGTGTATGTGCATATTAGGTTGCCGCCAGATTTCATCTTTCAATTTTATGTTATATTGTTATGCATTCTTGGTTGATTCTTCCTTTCTTTCCTTTTATCATGGGATACCAATTCAAAAGGCAATCATTATTTTTATCTTGTATAAAGGTATTATAAACACCAACACCAACAAAAGAAAGAAAACTGCATCCATTTCATTTTCTGATTGCATATTCTTTTTTTCTTATTTTATAGGGTCTCAACCAATTTTGAGTCATCCTACTACCAATACCACGTTAAACTGAGGCGGCCCTGTAAAATGACTGATACTTAAACCTAAAACTACAAGCGAAGTAAACCTCAAAAGTTTTAGAGCTATACATTTTGACTAATACCTTTTCTTTTCTCCAGGTCATAAGGGTGGGCTTATGCAAACAGTGAGTGCATCAATCTAATAAGAATAAACTTCAAAGAATCGTCTCAATTTAACAATTTTAAAAGTGAAATCAAGTATCCAAATATAAAATCTCAGTTTGCAGCCAGCAGAGAATTCTTGCTAGGCCTCAAAGATTCATTCCAAAAACTAATGACCCCTAAATATACCTAGCATGACATAATAGCATATATATATATATACCTAGCCGCAATATTGATCAAAGCCGCAATATTGATCAAAGCCCCAATATTTTACTGCTAAACACTTGAATCAATCAATGGCCCCTAAATATATCTGGCATGACAGGATAGGTGTGTATATATATTATATATAAGAAGAAATACCAAATAGGACACTGATCTTTAACTGTGACCTCCTAAATGTAAAGAATTACTGAAATTCAGCTAAAAATAACAGTAAAAAATAAAATAAGGGCTCACATCTTAGTTTGATCCATGAACACCTGCTGCAACATAATCATAAACCTATAAAAACCCACCATACAGAAGTAGATGCATACAGTTCAAGCAAACATTAAAAAGAAGTCATACCCACAAAAAGTTTCCCAATAAAAATCTATAATGTGCCTATATAAATACATATAAACATAATATATAAGAACTCCAAACCCAATTCAGCAATTAACAATCATCAGCAGAAAGACAACCGCAATACGAGAACAATAAAACCCACTAACCTGAGAGGAACCCCTGAAATTCCTAAACCATGAAACAGATCTTATATCCCACCAAGACATTTTGTGAATCAACGAAAATAAAACAATAGATGATGAATCGTGGGTCCTTCGATTAATCCCAGAAAATAGAGTATTATGCTATGAAACTAGGATCAACGAAATAGTGAGAGAGAGAGAAGCTTCCTAGTTGTTAGTTAATGTCCATGGACAGTCTTATCTGCCAACTATGAGAGTACAAATATTATAATAATTAAAAACCAAAAAAACAAAAAGAAAAAGATGAACAGGTGAAAATAAAAAAGCTTTACCTGTGGGGTTTTGACTTTTGAGGTGAAGCTTTGCAATTGGAGAAAAAGGGTTTCGAATGGGACCCTAAAACCATATTCTTACGAAATCATGTGGTAACCATGAAATCTATATACATGGACGGGAGAGAAGGATAGGGATGGTAAATTAGCCCGACCCGTCGAAAACGGTTTTTCGGACCTGTATTATGATTTGAGCGAAAACGAGTTTAAGGCTAGTAAATAGGGTAGGAAAAATATGAGAGAATTATTTATCACGTAATAATTAAAAAAAAAAAGTTCAAATTATAAAACTTTCCTATTGTTTATAAAAACTACTTTCTCCTTTCTTTTTAATTATCCGTCTCCTACACTGTGGCTGACTCCCTCAATTAAAAAATTATTATAATATTTTTGATGTTTTTAAAAATCTTTTATATCACCCCTTTTCGTTAGTTCACTGTCTAAAATAACCAATCTTGTAACAAATTTCTTTAAAATGACCATAAATTAAGAAATATATGAATGGTTACCAAGTCTAACCACTTCATTATCTAGAATTTTTAAAAGTTCCAATCAATTTCGTTCATTTTTCAATAATGCAAAATTATAACATCACGTGTTCATAACGGACCATTATCAATAATTTGTTTAAAATGTTGTACTAAATTGAACTGATTAAATAATTAAATGCATTTGGTTTAAACTATGTACTTATCTTTAATATCAGAAATTAAGATCGAAAACAAATAGACATGAATTATGAGTACTTTCTCTTGCGCGAAATCTTCTTAGAATTCATTCCATCACTTTTTCAATTCGGTTTGTTATTATTATTTTTTTTTTTGAAAAATAACAAAATATGATAATAAATAGACATTGCAATACTATATGCAAATAATATATCTCTTGTCATAATTTTATCTTGGTATTTTTAATAATATAATTAATATTCTTGTAATGCCCATACACATGATTTTTATTTATTTATTTATTTTTATTTTTTATTTTTTTTGTGCTAGTTTTACTCATATTCCTATTACTAATATAGCTGGACTCACACTTTTCAAATTTATTTTTTAAAAAAGGAAGATTCACATCCATCTACAACCAAAAATAAACATGAGCCTCACAAAATCCAATCCTGTCACACCACCATAAAACCAAATAATTTTTTTTTTTCCTCCTATAAAACCAAATCATTATGCACCCTAAAACCTCAAAACCAATCATGATTTGCTGGAACAGTGATCATTTTAAGTGCATTACAAAGTTTGGAGGGTCCTATGAATCAAATTTACGTTATTTTAATGCATAGTACGGATCTTAGGTTCAATACATGACTCGCGTTGAACTCTTTATTTATGTATTAAAATTATGTGGTTAGATGCATAGGATTCCTCCAAGCGCGAGATTATAAAATCCAAGCACATTCCGAATGGTGAAGATTACTTGCTAGTAGGGTGATTTCCACCATTAGTGCACCCTAAAAGATTGAGTTGATCTTAGCCAAAACCCTAACAATGTGATACAACAATGGTCAACTAGATCAAACGCTGCTGAAACTCTTGAAACTTGTGTGTGTGTGTGTGATTCAAAAGTCCAATGACAAAATAAGCCACTAATAATATGGACCCTAAAATTAGTTTCTGGGTTCAAGCATCTACACATTGGTTCTCAAAATACTAGTTATGTTTCTTTGGGCAGTGCATAAAAAAATCATAGATAAAGGTAAAATTTGGAAATAATATGACATGTATGATTAATTGGAATGGTTTCTTTCATTTTTTCCAATTTAAAAATGTTATGAAAATAATTTTATGAAGTCCAACTACTCAATTCCACAAATTGTATAAATAAAAAAAAAAAAATTTATTAGTCAAACAATTCCATAAATTGTAAAAGAAAAAATAAAATAAAAGTTGTCAAGAATGGGATTCGAACCCATGCCCTTTCGGACCAGTACCTGAAACTGGCGCCTTAGACCAACTCGGCCATCTTGACTTTGAGTAAGCTGTCATTCAATATGTAATTTATATTGTAGTTTTTATGGGTAACCACAACAATTTATAATTTAAACTAGATTGCGTAAGGTTTGTTTTTATGTAAGAGATTTACCCATGTCATTGGGCACATGACGAAGATGTTAACCGAAAAAAAAAACATATTTAACCTTATGGGCGAAACCGAAAAATAATTAAAGTATATAATTACATACACAATAAAATCGCTTATATCATGTGAAAAACAGGGTTTTTTTTGGGCTTTGGACCATCAAAGTTTATGGGACTTGATAATATTCATTCCTACTAGAATTTAAAAAAAAAAAAAAAATAGAATAATATATTCTTTATTATTATTTTTTAAAAACAAAAATTCAGTTATCATAATTTTTTTACTGAAATTTTTTAAGCAAGTGCTTCAAAGTTAGATTAATTACTATAATACTACAATTCATCTAATTTTAACTTTATTTTACACCATTAACAAAAATAAAAATCATAACTTTTTCTTGTATTCCGGGATTATCATGTTGTTCGGATTAGTAAAAACATTGTTCAAATCGAATTCAAATTCTAAAGTTTAGACTCAGTCTGAACTCCATGATCCTAATTATATTTTTTTATGTACACATTTTATAGACTTAAACTCCTATTTTGCCAAAGTGTTTTGCAGAAAATAAAATACAAAATTAATAATAATAATAAAATATAAAATTGGATTATCACCAGACGACCACATTATTAAAGTCGATAAAAACGGCACATAAGTCTTGTAAACGTGGCTCAAGACTTCTACGTTATTTTTTTATTTTTATCTTTTTGTTGTTGTTTGGTTAATGAAGACTTCTACTTACGACCCTTTGATTTCCACGAAATTGACGTCAAGTCCATGGTGGAATATAGAAAATTCCGATTGTTTCTTGAATTTTCAAAAATATATTTTATATCACATCATGTCACCAACCCTTTTTCAAATGCCGTCTGAGTTGAGTAGAGATAGAGGAAAAGATCAAATAATTTTTAATTTTATTTTTTATTTATTATTTTTGCAAAAAATAAAAAAAATAAAATAAAATAAAATAAAATTCTAAGACTTGAAACCTCACCTTTCATATCAAATTTTTTTTTTAAAATTCGACATTTCTAACAAAAATTTTAGAGAGTGGGGCGAATAAGAAGATTAAAGGATATTTTTAAAATTTTAAAATATAAATTTTAGTTTTTAATTTAATATTAAATATTAAGTTAAATTTATCATTATATAACCTGTTTAATAGGTAGGACATGAATATTTGGACAATGTGATTACTTTTTAAAAATTTAGGGTAGGAATTCTTTTTTTGATGGTAAAGTAAACACACACACACACTCTTTTGTTCATGTCAGGACTCGAACCCTTCCCCTATTCTTTCGAAAATGGGAAGGTTATACCATTGAGTCAAAGGTTGATATTTTGGTTAGTGTAGGAATTTTGTAAAACATGTTAAGAATTTTATGATCAAAATTAATTTTTATGATTTTAATCCATAAAAAAGAACAAAAATGGCCCGCTTTTCATAATATTGGCACTCTTCCTTTAACCAAATGCACTCTACTCTTAAATTAAAATGACATAAATGCCCTTAACTCATAAAAAAAAATACATATATATAATTAAGGTTAGTGACACTCCCCTTAGAATTGTTATTTCTGTTAAGAAAAAGACAAGTAAAAGTGTATATAAACTATAATTATATTATAAATATTTACCGTTCTACTATCAAACAACTACTTTTGTTTTAAATGAGATTTTTTTTTCCTGACAAACTTGTTTTAAATGAGATGATGACCATCATAATAATAAATAATTAGGTTTGAAAGTTGTTGGCTTAATTGCTCTGATCAATTGAAGAAACGGTGTCTGTTTTTAGTGCGTAAAACAATGAATTAAGCACTTAAAATGTGAGAATGTGATGCCGTTACGTTTTAAAATAGGTTGGGACTTGGTGGTTAGCACGTTACTTATGCCCTAAGAGAACCCCACTAATCAGATAAAAATACCAATAAGAATGTGGGACCCAATGGGTGGTGTTTTTCTCCTCATTTTCAAAACCATTCACACCTCCATTACTTCTCTTTGACTGACAAAATCAATAAAACATGAATCATGATTTCTAGCATGTATGTATATATATCAATAATATATATACAAGAATTTTTTTGTCAATTACATTATATGATACTTTGATTGAGGGTAACGTTCAAATTGAACTCAACTGGAACCTGCATTTTTTTGTCATTTTCAATGAATTTTTGTTAAAATTCACGTGTCTACATTGAAAACTGGAAAAAGTTTCAACAATAAATTAATTAGGTTAAACATACGTTGAAATATCATACCATTCAAACTTTATAATAGACATTTGTGAGTATGTCTAAATTTATATTTAGTTAACTAAAAAAATATATCATATAATGCACTTCAAACCCTTGATTTAACCCAAATTGAATCACTTCCTAACCCTACTTTATACTTGCATGAATCAATAAAAAATAAGTTGACATCGCACACGCCTAAAAGCAATTCCATTTTGGGATTGTTTTCATATCCTCCATTATTACTCAATTTGAAGTGTGAAAAGGTAAAGATTTTTTATTTTTTATTTTTTATTTTTTATTTTTATTTTTATTTTTTTTCTTTCAAAAATTAGGTAAAAGGAAATGTTAAGTTGAAGTGAGAATGGTGCCAATAAGTAATTATATTAACAATATTGTGTAAAATTAAAGTTTACACACATATATAGTGATATCTCATATATCTTTTTAAAGTGAAAGGTGATATATCAAATTCTTATAAAAGTAAATGATTATGGAAGTTTCTTCTCGTTAAAAAAAGAAATAAAATAATAATAATAAAACCAACCTTCACTAATTAGTAGGTCTAAAACGAAGGTCTATGATCTAATTATATTTTCCCTCTTTATCAAATCTGGTGTAACTTTTTATATCTTAAGAAGAGGTTGTGTGTTGGAGCCAAACCTCTACAAGACAAATATCTACGTGTGTGTGTGTGTGTGTTCGTCTTTCGAAGCATATGATGGGAACCCTCATCACAATTTAGTTGCTTGCTTGACTTGGCTATTGACCAGTGCATTAACACGGTTTTATCCTTGACCTTATTCATAGCTAGTACCTTTTCGCCATCTATAAATTCAGTAGCTAGCAAACCTCCCATTGCATCACATATCATATCTGTCTCTCTCTCTCTCTTCATTTTACATTTATATTTGCACATTAATTGTGGTGTGGTTGAAGAAGATGAAGAAGGCGTGTCTTGCTGTTGCAGTCTGTGTGGTGATGGTGGTGCTTTTGGGAGAAGTGGGCGTGACGAGCGCCGTGACATGCAAGGCGGTGGAGCTCAGCTCATGTTATGCGGCGATCACGTCGTCCCAGCCGCCGTCGAGTCAGTGTTGCAGTAAGCTGAGGGAGCAGAGGCCTTGCCTCTGTGGCTACCTCAAGGATCCAAACCTCAGCCAGTATGTCAATTCTCCCGGTGCCAAAAGGGTTGCCAGCGCCTGTGGTGTGTCCACCCCTAAATGCTAACTAAGCTCCTAGATTTCACTACCATGCATGCACTCAAAGAGTACTAAAATATTCTATATATATATATATATATATATATATATGAACTAAGAATAATGTTTTGCTACATACATACATATATGTATGTATGTGTAATCCTTGTTTTCTTTAAATGGTATGTGCATGTACCTGTTTTTATATATTGAGCTTAATGATATATGGTGGTGTTGCTCTCTCTCACACACACAATATCATATTTTGAATTAGAATTGCTTAAAAAAAAAAAAACGTGTAGGTGCTTCAAAGTTACTTAAAAAGTAACATAGGAATGAGTGATAACTTTTTCTTGTATTCCAAGTTTATTATGTTGCTTGGATCAGTAAAAACATTGTTCAATTCCCACCAATATAAATATATTCAAATTCTAAAGTTTAGACTCAGTTTCAATCCCGTGATCCTAATTATATTTTTTTTATGTACGCATTTTATAGACTTAAACTCCTATTTTGCCAAAGTGTTTTGGAAAAAATTAAAATATAAAATTAATAATAATAAAATATAAAATGGGATTATCACCAGACTACCACATAATTAAAGTCTATAATTACGGCAAACAAAACGTGGCTCAAGACTTCAACTTATTTGACCCCTTTGATTTCCACCAAATTGACTTCAAGTCAATGGTGGAATATAGAAAATTCCCATTGTTTCTTGAATTTTCAAAAATATATTTTAAATCACCAACCGTTTTTCAAGTGCGTTTGAGTTGAGTGGAGATAGAGGAAAGATCAACGATTTTTTAATTTTGCTAAAAAAAAAAAAAAAAGCTCACATATTCATTCGAAGACTTGAAACCTCACATTTCACATTAAAAAAAAACTAAAAATTCGACAATTCTAACAAAAAAATCATTCATCTTTTAACTAAATGCACTCCACTCTTAAATTGAAATGACATAAATGCTCTTAACTTAAAAAAAAAAAAAAAAAAAAAGAAAAAGAAAAAGAAAAAGATTAGCTGCACTTCTCTTAAATTTGTCATTTATGTTAAAAAAACGACAAGTAAAATAGTATATAAATTATAATTATACTATAAATATTTGCCATTCTACTATCAAACAACTACTTTTGGTTTAAATGAGAAGATGACCATAATAATTAATATTATTATTATTATTATTATTAAGTTTGAAAGTTGTTGGCTTAATTGCTCTAGTGAATATCCGATAGGTATAGCGGTATTAGTAGATATTCAAAAGGCAAGTCCTTGAAGTTTCGTTAAGTTTTTGAAATTTTGATTTCGAATAACACTTCTGACTTGAATAGTGATCGAGTGTATTGCGCGCCGTTACATTTATTCTAAGAAAAAAAAAAAATTTGCTATGATTAATTGAAAAAATGGGGCGTGTTTTATATAGTATACACAGACTGTGATGGCGTTATGTAATTGAATAGATTAGCGGCACTTCTCTTAGATTTGTCATTCATGGGACACGGGATCCTCTCCATAAACCATCTCTCCAGTTCTTTCCAAACTAAATTTAATAGTTGATATTAATACAGGTGTTCACTTAGCTATGGTACACAACTCTGTGAGTCCCACAATGGGTGGTGTGTTTCTCCTCCTTTTCAAAAACCCTTCACACCCTCGATCCATTACTTCTTTAACCGACAAAAGCAATAAAACGAGGATCATCAATGATTTTGTCGAGGTTTTATATGAATAATACCAGGATCATTTTGTCATTACATTTTGATGAGAAATGATATTTTGTTTTTTTGGTAACGGTCAAATTGATATCAACTCGAACCCTTTTTTTTTTTTTTTTATATTTTATTTTATTTTATGACACAAAAAAAAAAAAAAAAAAAAAAAAACTCGAACCATTTTTTATTTTTGATAATTTTCTTTGTTGAAATTGACAGAAACACTCTGAAAAGTGAAAAAAATCTCAACCAAAATAAATTCACGTTCAAAAGAAGTTGATATTGCACCCGCCTAAAATCAATTCCATGTGAAAGGAAAAAAAAAAAAAAAAAATTCAATTCCATTTTGGGATTATTTTCATATCCTCCATTATTACTCAATTTGAAGTGTGAAAAGGTAAAAGAAAATGTTGTTGAAGTGAGAGGTGGTATCAGGACTAATTATATTAACATCGCATTCACACATTTATTTAGTTATCAATAAAAGAAACCAAATCCGTTTCCTCTTTAACTTCTAAAATAAAATGGGAGGGATTAGTTCTTATAAAAGTAAATAAGTTGTGAGATTTTTTTTTTTTTTTTTTTTGCCAAACAAAAAACTCAATAAAAAAGCCACCTTTAATTTTTGTTGATCCATGAGCTTTGTTGGGAGAAAAATAAAGAAACGTATATCACATGTGCAAAACGTATATCAGACGAATAATATTTTTAGTTTAATGAAGCATGGTGGGCGTCAATGTGTGGTATACAATGTAATATTATAGTTTGAACAAACTTTGATGATGTTGATGTTAATTAAATGGTTGAATTTCTTATAAGTTTGCGTGTTTTTGCTGGCATCATAATGTTGATCTTGACCATGTTCCAAGTATAACGACAATAAAACTTGGCAAAATTTTCAATTTAGTTTGGGAGAAATTGGAATATCGGGTATCCCATATATAGTTTAAATTTAAACTAGGAAAAATTGGCTTATTATTAGTGAGATTTCTCAAATAGTGGTATCCCATGTATCTTTTAAAGTGAAAGATTAGGCATCATTAAGTTGGTGTTTCAATTCAATTCGGATATGACCCAGCAATTAACTCGCTGGACTTTAAAACTTAGCAAGTCCAAGGTCTGGGGTTCGAGTTTCGCTGGATGTTTTTTGTGGCTAACCTTTATTGCCCTGTAGTGACTTACCTGACCCGGATGAGAAGGCGAATTTTCGAGTTCTCAGGAATTAGTCGGTTGTTGAGGGCTTTAAGGGATCGTATCATCCCGAATATCTCGGGTTAATAAATAATAATAATAAAGTTGGTGTTTCAATTTTTTTTCACTGTATACAAAAGGTTTCAACAATGTGCACAACAAAATAATTTTTATCAAACATATTTTTTCACTATTTACTGTTACAGTATGTGAACAAAAACAAAATGTTTACCAAATAAAACCTTAATTTGGTATATATATGTGTGTATATATATATATCCTCGCTTTTCAAAGTGAATGACAACCACAATTTATCCTCAATTTACTTGTTTGACTGGCCATTGACTTGTGCATTAATACGGTTTTATCCTCAACCTTATTCATAACTATAACCTTTTGGCCATCTATAAATTCAGTGGCTAGCCAACCTCTCAGTGCATCACATATCATCTCACTTTAGTTCTCTGCCTCTTTCTCTCTCTCTCTCTCTCTCTCTCTCTCTCTCTCTTTTCATATTTACATTTATATTTGCACATCAATTGTGGTGTGGTTGAAGAAGATGAAGAAGGCGTGTCTTGCTGTTGCAGTCTGTATGGTGATGGTGGTGCTTTTGGGTGAAGTAGGCGTGACAACTGCCGTGACATGCAAGGCTGTGGAGCTCAGCTCATGTTATGCGGCCATCACGTCGTCTCAGCCGCCGTCGAGTCAGTGTTGCAGTAAGCTGAGGGAGCAGAGGCCTTGCCTTTGCGGCTACCTCAAGGATCCAAACCTCAGCCAGTATGTCAATTCTCCCGGTGCCAAAAGGGTTGCCAGCGCCTGTGGTGTGTCCACCCCCAAATGCTAAACTCCTAGATTTCACCACCATGCATGCACTCAATGAGTAATTGAGTACTAATATATATATATATATGAACTAAGAATAATGTTTTGCTACATACATATATATATATGTATGTGTGATGTGTAATCCTTGTTTTATATATATTGCAAATGGTCTGTGCATGGTAGCTGTTTTTATATATTGCGCTTAATGATATATGGTGATGTTGCTCTCTTTCTCTCTCTCTCTCTCACACACACACACACACAATGTCATATTTTGAATTAGAATTGCTTAATTACAATGGATTTTGGGGGTACGGAATTTGATCAAAAATAGATATAATATAATAGACTGATTCTATGCTTCCAAACATAACCTTAACTCACAACTGATTAGTAATTAATAAAAGATAATTTACGAAGTTCAAATATTTTGGCCGATTTTAGTATGAAATGATGAATATTTTTTTGAGGGTTTTATGATAATGTGAACATCAAATTGAGAGGTTTCTAGTAGGTGAATTCATATATATATATATATATATATATAGATATAGATATAGATATAGATATATGTATGTTTGCCCACTCTTATATATGGTCGAATCAGCTGATAAGGTAAAGGTTTCCATTTTTCCAATATATGGGCCATTTTGTCACAATCAACCAATTAAAAATTGTTGACAAAAAACAAGGAATCAATTGAATTTTCAGATAAAGTAGTTTCTTCGATCAATGTAGATGACTAATACTACAAACTCAAATGGCACTGGTTGAACATGCACTGAGTTTGCAAATGGAATATGAAAGAGCTTGCTCAATTTGACACGCTAAATACTGATGACAAAAAGGAATTAATTATCATATAATAATAAAAAGTAGATCTTATAAATCTCATTATCAATTTCATTAACTATTATAAACTTTGGTTAATTTATATTCATCTCTTGATACAAAAAAGAAAAGAAAAATGGCATTGTCCCTTTCAGACATTTGGGTGAAACACGTAAACATATATCGAATGTAGTCTTACCCTTTTTGCATTCTACATCTGATAATTGTATTACTCTAGGCGAAGAACGGAGTTGAATCGAAAATACAAGGGCAAATTTGGTGCTTTATAATTTAATTTTAGTGACAAACAAATCCCGTGTTAATTTACAAATATTTATAGTGTAATTTTGAATTCATAGAAAATGTTTTGCTAGAGAGGTGAGTGTAATTCACAATTTTATCATGAATAGTGGTAGAGAGCTCAATATTTTGACAATTATGATTAATTGCACGTAAGGAGGTTCGATTTTCGAAGTCCAAATCATTTTCGTTTATGCTTATGTGCTACACTAAACATATTCTCGATCAAGTACTTAGGAGAAATGAGAGTGGAGATTTTGGTGATTGAAACTTGTCTGTCATCACCACCAACAAAAGAGTGTTTTTTTAAAAAAACACATTAGGGCCCAGGTAAGGATTAATTGGGCCTAAACCAAACAAAACCCAGTCCGCGCCTGAAAATAAATCAGGCCTCTTATTATTAGCCAGGCCCAGTAATATGGGCTAATTGTGGGCCGGGCCTAACCTCCCACCATGTCCATTTTTATTGAGATTCGAGGTAGAGCTTTATTTCTGCCATGAAATTATAGTGCATGGTGATTTTTCCATTGTATTATGTCCATATTCTTAGAAAATAATTTTTTTTTAATAAATTTTTTTTCATTTTATTTATAAATGAAATATTTTAGTCATTCAACCAATTTACTTGTGTATCAAAAATAAAATATCAAAGAGATTTAAATTTTTTTTGGAGACATGATATTCGTATTTCACTTTTGTCCTCTTCTTAAAATTGCAATGTAATACTAATTTTGTGGTAATTGAGTATGAAAATGTTTTTAAACAATAAAATAAACTAAGTTAAGAAGCATCATCATGGCTCTTGTTTTGTGAAAATGAGAATATATATATATATATATATATATATATATATATATATAATTAAACACATAAAAATAATCCATCCAAATTAAAATACCTTGAACCTTTCACTCTTGTGTTAACAAGAAGATCATGTCACAGCTTGAAAGTGGACTGTTGAACTACTTTATGTTACACTAAAAAATGAAATCTAGAAATTGTGTGACAGTGTGTTAGAAGCAATTTTTTTTTTTTTTTTTTTTTGGGAATTTCAATATTACATCCACTAATAATCTAAAAAACAATTCATACACATGAATATATGTGACTCACTTTTGTATCTTAGAGATGACAACAAGGCATGTCTGGGACAGACTATTTTTATTTCAATTCGTTTATGAAGGGGCATAAAATCCCACTGAGCCGAGTCCAGCGCGACCCATCAATCCAAAGGGAGGCCCGACGACCATCCAGCCCGTTGACTCTAATTCAAGACCTATTTTGACCATGAGCAAGGCCCGTTCTGACTGAAGGTGAGGCTCAAGAAAAGAACCAGTCCGTTTAGGAGGAACGAATTAAGCCCATATTATCTTGAGGTTTGGATATGACCAAGAATTCTTTGGGCAAGTAGGGATCGACTTCTATAAATAAAAAAAAGCCAAGACATGTAAAAAGATTCGATTGAATTGTAAAAAATATACTTTCCTAATAAAGAGTAATTTCTTATAGATTCAGTTTAGTAAGTGATATTTTATTTATTTATAAACTCTTTTCTACTATTTGAGTTAGAGAAGGTTTGTATTTGATTGTTCTGTTATTCATATTTATGAATAAAAAACAATTCTTCTGAAATAATTTTAAATTACTGTGATGTATTGTTCTCATCGGTACAATAATATAAAAGATCATGAATAAGAAATGACAAGAAAAAAATTATAATAACTAAATTACTATTAATATGTATCGCATAAATAATTTGTTTGTATTAGATATGAGTTTCAGTGTCTCTTTTTTAAACTATCCATCCCACACTATTGTGTTTAATTTTTTAAAATACAAAAATACTATGTGTAATTTAAGCTTTTGTGAGAAGAAGTGAAAATAATTTTTTCATACTTATGTGTATATATAAATTTCAAATAATGAAAAAAGAAAAAATAGAAAGTCACATTCGAACAAAAGCAAACTTCTTTATAAAAATATAGGGGAAAAAAAAAAGTAAAGGGAAATTGATTAGCATTTAGAAAGTAAAAGAGAAAAAACAGAGAGATTCAAAAAGGAAAGCTAAGTAAAAATATGTAGGGCCAAATTGAAAACCGCTTTTCCTTAGTGTTTTTATTTTTGACTTGAAACAAAAGCAACTATTCTGTTTTGGAATGTGTTCGATATTTGTTGTAAGATTTTTTAAAACAAATATATTAAAATACTAAAAAAGTGTTATAAGTTTGAAAAATAAAATATCTTTATTTATTTATTTATTTTTAGTATCCATCGCCAAAAAAAGGTAAGTGGGAAAGGAGATCGTATATAATTGACTTATAATTAAAGAAGCACGTGGTCATCAATTTTCTAAAGTTTTAAAAAAAGAAGTGGATTATCACCAGACTAAGCATAATTAAGTTGATAAAAACAACACTTAAGTCTTTCAATTTGGCTCAAGACTTTGACCTGCTTGACACTTAATTTCAAAGAAATTGACTTCTGGTCAATGGTTGAATATAGAATTTTGCCATTGTTTCCTGAATTTCCTTACATATTTTTATTTTATTTTATTTTATTATATATATATATATATGACGTGAGAACCCTCACAACTACTCACTCTTTGGATTTATAATTATCAGGTAAATAAGTGACTACTCACCCTTGTTCAACAGTACGAATAGCATTTTAAGTCTAGATATATAATAGAGATGAAACTCGGCACTACCTGCTAATAGCATTTTAAGTCAAGGTATATGATAAAAATAGACGAGTTCGAACATGAAACATGATGTTGTCCTGGTCGTTATCTACCGAGTCCTGAAACATGATGTTGTCCTGGTCGTTATCTACCGAGTCCTGAAATATGATGTTGTCCTGGTCGTTTCGGCTGCATATTTCACACCAACCAACCTATCAACTATCAAGTGCCGTTTGAGTTAGGTGGAATGTTACTGGAAAGACAGAAAAAGATCTATGAATTTTCTATTTTTTTATTTTTATTTATTTATTTATTTTGCAAGAAACTCACCATTTGTTTTTACGGAAATTTGAACAATCTGTAAAAAAAAAAATTGACAATTAAATATTTTATGTTTTATTTGAAAATAGGACCGAACAAAAGTGGCCTAATTTTTTATTATTTATTTATTTTTTATGTATGTGTAAATTATAATTATATTATAAGATTTATCTTTATATTAAACAATTTCCTTTGGTTGAAATGAGATGATGATGAGCATCATAACAATAGTTGGGTGTGAAAGTTATTGCCTTCCTTTGATCCATTGAAGAAATGGGACCTTGCTTTGTACGTAAAACAATGATTCATTAATAAATTGAGACAAATCTCTAATGGCGTTATTGATGAGGCTAGGGGGGTCACCCATCTGTTAATGATTCGAAGCAAATGACAAAATTCAATAAAACACATATGGACAAAGTACAAAAAAACTCAACAAATTTGAAATAATAATATTTTTCGTTTCAAATATGGACAAAGTACAAAAAAACTCTCCTCGATCTGTATTCTTTTTCAGTAAATTTTTCTTATCTATTTTTTATACCAAATAACCCCCTCGACTTGTAGTCTTTTTTCATTAAACCCACATTGTCTTATTTTTTTACCAAAAAACCCTCCTCAACTATCTGAAGGGGGTAAAAGAATTAATATTTGAACCAAAATGCCCTTTTATTTAAATTTTAATTCTTCCGAATTTCAAAAATTCATATCTCACAAACTTTACATTTAAAAATTGTCAATAATATATGCATGAAAACCTTGTAAAATAAAGATTTCAAAAATATAAGATTTTTGTACAACAAACCTTCATAACCAGAGATAAATAGGCAATTTAAAAATATTCATTTACATATGGAGCCAAATATATAAAAAATTTAGCCCCAACAGAGATCTATTTTATGAGATATCATATTTTGGGTCAAAGTATTTTCATTCTTTATATATATTTTTTTCTTAATGGGTACTCACACACACATGCCTCCACCGAAACTCGAACCCCTGATCTCCCTTTGAAAAATAGGCGCTTGATACTGCTAAGCCATTGGTATGTTGGTATTTTCATTCTTTTATAGATTCACCATTTAAAAAATATATAAAAATGATTATTCGATCTCTATTAAGGCTAATTTTTTTTTATACGTTAGGATTCATATGAAAATGAATAATTCTAAAAATTTTCTTGCAAATAACCCGAATATTTTGTACAGCTCTTTCGGGCTTACAGCTTTGCAGCCGCTCATGGGCTTCCTTCCTATACTGTCAGACAAGTAAAGTACAACAGAGATACGTGATAAAATAAAATAAGATTGTAGTAGTAGATTTTTAGATTGGCTATTTCTCTTTGGTTATGAAGTTTTGTTAAACAAATCTTATATTTCTGAAATTCTTATTTTATAAGTTTTATGTGCATATATTATTTGCAATATTTGGATGTACGGTTTGTGAAATATGAATTTTTGAAGTTTGAAAAAATTAATATTTAAATAAAATGGTATTTTGGTCCAAATATTAATTTTTTTATCTTCTTAGATAGTTGAGGGAAATTCTTTAATAAAAAATTAGAAAAGAAAATTTATTGAAAAAAGTTACAAGTCCAGAGAATTCTTTGACAAAAAATTACATGAACAGAATTTATTAAAAAAATAATACAAGCCGAGGAGGTTTCCTCTGCTTAGCCCTTTCAAAAATAGTGAACCAAACAATGATGGAAAGCACTCAGATTTGGGTCATCTCCAATAATTTTCTTGAAACATTGCGTTTCTCTTTTTATTTGAATTAAGTTGCGTGTAAAACGTGTATCGGCTAGTGTGGTCACCTTAGACAAATACCATTCAGAATGTGGTCAGTTCTTCTTCCTCTTCCTTTTTTAATTTATTTATATTTATTTATTTATTTATTTTTGGAAAGTTGTCAGTTATTTCTTTTTATTTGAATTAATTTGTGGGTAAAACGTGTATCGGCTAGGGTGGTCACCTACATTAGACAAAAGCCTTAAGAATGTGGGACCCACATTTCATATACGAGGTTAAATGACAAAATTCAATAAAACACATAAGTCATGCTATCAATCCCTCAATATCTCCATAAAATTGAAACAATAATGTTTTTCATTTCAAAAATAGTGAACCAACAATAATGGAAAGCACACGGATTTGGGTCATCTCCAATAATTTTCTTGATACATTACGTTATTTTTTTTATTTGAATTAAATTATGTGTAAAATGTGTATCGGTTACACAATACAAGCATTATTTAAGTTACGGTTCGAAAGCGAGACATGGACAAAGAATTACCTTCCGAATTCTCGCCAACGCCGTTATACTCACGAGGACAATGCATCCTTCACATGCGCGTGTCTGTGATACATAACGGTTAGGGAAATAGGACTTTGGATCCTCTAAGTTAAATATTCTCTAAGTTATCGTAGGTTGAATTCGCTACAAAATGACACGTAATATTAAAAACCTATTTACTGTTGGAGTTAAACCACGTCAACTAATTTAAAGAAACTTTAAAAACTGCACCGTTTTGAAACAAGAAAAATTTACCAACGTTTAAAAACTGTACCTTTTTGAATTAAGAAAAATTCACTATACTCTAACGACAATTAACATCGTTATCTTTCCCTTATCTTTTTCAAAAAAAGATCCTCCATTTCTTTCCTCTTTTTCATAATTGAAACAAGTCGCGTCTTTATTTCTCATTTAAATAGTAACAAATTTTAGATTTTTTTTTTTTTAGTTTGTACTCGTACAATCCTAGTTCCAAAGGATTGTTTGTATGAAATTTTTAGATTTTAGATTTTTTTATCATTTATTTTTTGATTTGGGTAATACAATAAAAAGGTAATGGATCCATTAAAGCAGGATTCAACTCAATTATAGGCATGGTTAATATCACTACAAACACTATTTTGGAGCAGTAACATAGATCAAGATATCATGTATTTGTATTGCCATCATTCTATATATTGTATTAAAATTTTTTTTTTTGAAAAAAGATTTAAACCATGCCATAGCAGAGACGCGACTTGTTTCAGATATGAATAAAGAAGAGAGAGAGGGAGGATCTTTTTTCGGAAAAAATGAGGGAGAGATAACGATGTTAATTATATAGTTAGAGTATAGTGAATTTTTCTTAACTCAAAACGGTGCAGTTTCAAAGTTTCTTTAAATGATTTAACACCACTAGTGGATAAGTTTTTAATGTTATTTGTCATTCTGTAGGGAATTTAACTTATAATAACTTAGAGAATATTTAACTTAGAGGATCCAAGTCCAATATAATAATGAAAATTATGATTAAAACAATATCACCATAAACATAATTTAATTAGTAAACATTAAATCATGATTAATAGAATTTAATTCTAACGTACATGTATCCTCCACCACAAAATTTACTCGCTTGACTTGGGCATTGACTTTGAAATTGTCTCCAACCTCCATCTATAAATTCACTAGCCAGAAAAAACCCCAATTGCATCACATATCATCTCACTTTCTCTGTCTCTCACTTCATATATTTCATTAATTTGCACAATTTAATTGTGGTGTGGTTGAAGATGAAGAAGGGCTGTTTTATTGTTGCGGTTGTTTGTGTGGTGGTGGTGGTGCTTTTGGGTGAAGTGGGTGTCACGAGGGCGGTGACTTGCAGTCCGTTGGAGCTGAGCCCATGTGTGGCGGCGATCACGTCGTCGCAGCCGCCGTCGAGCGAGTGTTGCAGTAAGCTGAGGGAGCAGAGGCCTTGCTTCTGTGGATACCTCAAGGACCCTAACCTCAAGCAGTATGTCAATTCCCCCAGTGCCAAAAGGGTTGCTAGCACCTGTGGTGTCCCAACCCCAAGATGCTAGCTGCCTTAATTATATATATTTCTATATATATATGCTATGTATTTCACTAGCAATGATGCACTTAAGCAGTACTTTAAGAGTAGTAAAATTTATGGATCGAGTAATTTATATATATATATATGAACTAAGAATAATGTTTTGTTATTTGTAATCCGTGTTTTCTTGAAAATGTTCTATGCTAGCTGTTTTAATTGTGCTTAATGATATATATTTTGGTGTTTCTTTCTCTCTCGCTCACTCACACAATAAATAGGCTCAATGGCCAATTTTCAATTTAAATTGTTTACATTGGGTTTGGAGATATGAAATTGGGGGAAAAATAGTTTAGATTTTAAGATGTCAGTTCCATGCACCATGAAAAGTTTTAACTTAATGAGTTAATGGTATCTCTCCAATCTTTGAAATGTCAATCACATGGGCGAGTAATGCGTGACTAGCAAACCCCTTTTCAATTAAAATTATTATCATCAAAGACTGTAATTTGTGGGTAATTCTCTATGAGAGTTTAAGTTTTTGTAGGAAGAAATAGGAGTGAATTTTTTGATAAGAAAAAAATAATTATATTTTTAAAGGTATGTAATATAATAAACTAGGTGATTGATGATGTGATTACAAGCTGTAGAGATGGCAATGGTACGATTTTGGGCAGTTGTATCCTCCTCTCTCACTTTTGCAATCGTTTAGAAAGTCCTGCCTAATTCTTATCCAAAACCGCTTAAACGGGGGCTTTTTTACTCCATCCCCTCCCCATTTAACTTTTTCATCCATGCGGGCACCTATCACGTATTGGCAATCAATAATTTAACATAAAAATTCATGGGTACGAGCGTTCTTAATTCATAGGGCTTTGTCACTCTCTAAAACGGCTCAGAAAGTGAATGAATGTGACGTAAGGTTTTTAAAACTAATTAACTATATATATTATTAAAATAAGAGTAATTTAGTAATTTACCTACCTAAATTAGACGGGGTGAGTGACCCCCTGCCCTCGCCCTGAACTCGCGCGAGTTTTTAATTAATAAAAACCATTTCCTCCCAAATAATCTAAACAATCCCTAAACTAGGCGGGGTGAGTGACCCCCTGCCCTCGCCCTGAACTTGCGAGAGTTTTTACAAAGTTATCACTACCGAGAAAAAAAAGAAGAAGATATTTTTCACGTAAAACATGTTAGGGCTGCAAGTTGTGCAAGCCCAACTCAGCCCCGTCCCAACCCAATTTCACCTAGAAGTCGGGTTGGGTTGGGGCTGGCCCGATGTCCAAACAAAGATGGGCTCTGCTAGTAACCCGAACCCAATTGTTTTTGGGCCGGACGGGTTGACCCGTTCAAATTTATTTATTTATTTATTATTATTTTTTTTCACACAGAAATATGCAAATGTATTTGTTTCTTTTTCCAGTTTGAAATATAGATTATTTAGAGAAATTTTTAATTCATTAATATTCTTTTTTATTTTTCGAAAGGGTTATTAATTTTTATGTACTTCCAACTCTATTTTTATTTTTATTAATACAAAAAATAAATTTGACATTATTTTATTTTATAAATATAAAAATAAAAAATCTTTTTTTTATTTGTTATTAAATAATTTTTTTGTTTTTATATTATTAAAAAAAACTCTAAAACTATACGTATACACAAGCAGCTGGCCAGAGACCAACCAGAAAAAGTAGAGGGGTTGAAAAGCAACGACCACCTCGTTGCGATCACATACACACACACACACACACACATATATACATATACATATACAAACTCCTATATCAAAGACCAACACATACTGTACATATATACAAGATATGTATATATCAAAGATTTAGAAGGTATTTTTAAAAAAGAAAAAGAAAAAAGGAAGTATTTTAAAATTCTGGTTTTGGGTTGGGTTCGGGTCGAGCCTGAGCCCAACCCAAATATGACTGGGCTTGGAGAAACTCAACCTGAATTAGACTCGATTTGTGAATTGAAAATCCAAATTTTAAAAATTTTGAGTTGGGTTTGGACTAATCGGGTTGGCCCGCCCAAATTGCACCCCTAAACTTATTATTATCCAAAGCCCATTTGGGCTCAAATTACTACGTATTAGCTAAGCCCGATAAAAAAATCTATTACAAGTCTACAACGAATATATATACGGAGTACATTCTAATAATCCTTTATTTTTATTTATTTATTTTTTTTTGAAAAGGGACTCTTGCCCATATTGAAAAGGCAGATTCCACACTGTCCACACTGTTGGAATCTGGCTCTTGGTAATGTTGAAAAGGCAGAATCCAAAGTTTATAGAAAAGAGTGTAGTTAGAAAATGGTAAACCGGCCACATCTGCACCTAATTATGAGGCTTCTTAATCTTATCTCTGCATATGGTTTACAGCTGATATATTTTTGGATCAATATAAATATTGTTATTTTTCATACACAAAACATGCTACTACTACTCTAAAAATTTGAAACATGCTATTTTTATATTTTTCTTGAGAATTAAAATTAATGCTTCCTACCTAGAGCAAGCATTAATTTTATTTTTTTATATACTACAGAATATATATATATATATATATATATATATATATATATATATATACGGAGTATTTTTAATTTTTCTGAGAATTAAAATAAGAATAATTTAACAATTTATTTACCTAAATTTCTCTAAGATATGATATTCGTATTTCATTTTTGTCCTCTTACAAAAAAAAAAAAAAAAAAAGCACAATTACCTCTCAAAAATGTAGTAATCTAATACTGCTTTTTTGTGATAATTGAGCATGAAAGCGTTTTTAAACAATAAAATATTGTAAATTAACTTGCCATGCAAATAAAAATAACTAGAAGATAATGTCGGAGTTTGAAAGTGGACTGTTGGACCAGTTTATGTTATATACACTTGTAATAAAAAAATTAGTGTGACATGCAGATTAAGAAACTTGTCCATGTTCTAAGAAGGAGGACTATTGGATCATTTCATATAATTTAAAAATTATTAATATAGCATGAGAAACATTGAACGTGTTGTTTGGTATTAGATTGGTCCACTAGATACACATCCCACTAGGGTAAGTCCACATTTTTAATTTTCTTTTTTTAAAAAACTTGAGACACTTCATATATATATATATATATATTAAATATTAATGCTTCATCCATTAATTATAATAGAGGACAAATATAGTGCACGATAGTCTAAAGCGAGTCAAATATATGGAATTTTTTTTTTTTGGTTAAAAATATATGGAACCTTACTTTCACATAAAGAGACTGTTATTATATAATAACTCAGTTCTGTATCTTAAGAATGGCAACGAAATAAGCATGTTTAGGACATAGTATTTATGTTTCCATTCATCTTGCAAGCGATAATATTTTTTATTATTAGTTTTTTTTTTGTATTATTTGAGTTAGGGTACGTTTGTATTTGATGGTTGTTATGTTGTTCACAATTTTTGAATGTCGGTATGAGTTTTTGAGTCTCTTTTTAAACCATCCACTCTACGCTAGATAAGACCGCCACCAAAGCAAGTTTTATCATTGTAATTTGTACGTTTTTATTATTTATTTATTTATTTTTGCTAATATTCAAGTGTGTGTAAAGATTACATAGAGCGATCAGCCTCATATTACTCCTAATCGGATAAGAATATTCTTTGGTGCATTTAATGAACAGTTGTATCACATTAATTATAAAATTTAAGGATTGAAAATTTCTACTCAATCCAATTATAATAATTAGAAGTACTGAAATATGTAAACGGCTTTGCTTGTTGTATTAGTCTAAGAATCAGTTATTCCGTATCATTTATAATTTTAAAATTGTTTGTCTGGATATAAAAATCTATTACCATAATAACTTTTTTACTTTTTATCCTACTGTCTGATTTATTGATTTGTCCTTTGTTAAAAAGAAAAAATTCTGCTCTCTTTTGGGATTTTTCTCCTTTAGAAATTCTCATTTAATAAATGTCTACGTTTTTAAATACAAATTATCATTGTTATGATTCACTGTATACATACATAATTTAGTACTTATAGTATTTCAATCATTATGTGACTTTAATTTCTATTTTATGATTAGTTAATATTCTCAACTATGTTTCCTTATAGAAGTGCTTTGTCATACAGAGGTTTAAATTTCGGATAAATTCCGGATAAATTTAAACCATATTTAGTACTGTGAGTACTGTGTGCACTGTGAGTAACAAGAATGGATTGGTAATATTTATCTTCTCCAATTTAATAATAGGAATGGGAGTCCACGTCAGACATGATGAGATAAAGTTAAGGTTAGAGGTGTATCCACTAATATTTAGTTTAGGATAACGTCAGCAACTCTCAGCTTTGACCCGTTTCAAACGTGCCATCCTGAACCATCCACAAACCACGTGTACCTCCCTTGAATATAACCCAAACAAACAAACCCTAACTCTTGGAACTGGTGGATTGTTTACGCGGCGCCTAGTGTTTGCCCATCTGTCTCTGTCTCTGTCTCTCTCTATCTCTATATCTATATATCTCAATTTCTTTACAACCCTGTAGACCTACAACTTTACCAGTATAAATACCAACCAAACACAACCTAAAGCCTTCAAACCCTTCCTTCCTTCAACCATCTTCTCATTTTTAAGCTCCATGGCCACAGATCTCTCTGTCATCTTACCTCGTGTCCTCATTGTCTCTAGAAGAACCGTTCGAAAGAACAAGTTTGTAGATTTTGTGGGTATGTTCTCTACTTTTCATACACACACACACACACATATTATATTGTTTTTGATTACTGGTGTGGAAATAATTTATTCACCAATTAAATCTGTCGGTTACTATATACACATTCATGTCTGTATATGTATGTAAATGTCGGTATATATATATATGTTATGTCAATCGTCATTAATCAGTTGATCAAATCCCACAATATTGTAAATAATTTGGAAATGAATTCACCCTTGATCTTATATGCCTTATATAATATACACTAGTAATCGTAGGTGAATAAATTAATTAGAACAATTGTAAGTTGTAATTGTTTGGTTATGCAGTTCTTTGAAAACAATTTTCAATAACTCCAATAACAAAAGGAATCTTCAGAGGTTTCAAACCATTTTATATAGTTTTTGATAAATAAAAGAAAAAAAACCGAACTCAGCATGTCCTTAGCTTTTGGATTTTTTTGTTCTACATTTTTGTTGTATTTGTATGTGCATTGGAATTAAATTTTTAAAAAATTAATTGAAATTTTGAATGAAAATTTTCTACAATTCTAATTTCATGGTGCTGATTTAGTGATCCTCAGCATAGCAATTACAAGATGGAGACCATTCTTATTATATACCTTAATTAATTGAATTATATATGTATATATTTTGTATTCTCAGGTGAATATCATCTAGATCTTATAGTAGGATATGGAGCTGTACCAGTCATCGTCCCCCGAGTCACCGGAGTTCACATGTTACTGAACAGCTTCGAGCCAATCCATGGTGTCCTCCTCTGTGAAGGAGAAGACATTGATCCATCTTTTTACGAAGCCGAAACACCGAATTTATCACCGGAAGAGCTGGAAGAAATCAGGAGAGTCCATGCAAGTGACACAGCCATAGACAGAGAAAAGGACACAATTGAATTGAGACTCGCGAAGCTTTGCCTCGAAAGGAACATACCCTACTTGGGAATATGCAGAGGGTCACAGGTCCTAAATGTTGCATGTGGGGGTACCCTTTATCAGGACATAGGGAAAGAGCTATCAGAGAAGTGTCCAGAAGAGAAGAGAGTGGTGCATATGGACTACAACAACTATGATGGTCATAGGCATGTGGTTAGGGTTTTAGAGAACACTCCTTTGCACCAATGGTTTAATGATTCTTTGGATGATGAGAAAATGCAGATTTGGGTTAATAGCTATCATCATCAAGGTGTCAAGAAACTTGCTCAACGTTTTGTTCCAATGGCGGTTGCGCCGGACGGTCTGATCGAAGGGTTTTATGATCCAGATGCTTATAATCCTGAAGAGGGTAAGTTTATAATGGGGCTCCAGTTTCATCCAGAGAGGATGAGGGGATCAGATTCTGATGATTTTGATTATCCAGGGTGTCCTGCTGCTTATAAGGTGATAAATCTATTTTACTTGAGGGGTTTGTGTGTGAATTATACAAAGAAATGTTAATTTGTTGAACAATGCTATTTGGACCTATTTCTCTGGCCGATTTGTGTAGTCGAAGGAGTTTTTATTTAAGTGTGGGTATCAACCTCTTACTTCTCAAAGGGAGGTTAGGAGTTCAAGTCTTGAAGGGACAAGTGTGTGTACCAATTAAGAAATTTTTTTTTTAATAAAAACCCATTCGGCTATCCGTGTTGATTTGAGAAATCGATTTAACAATTATTTTTCCAAAGTTGTTTGATTGTTTTTTATGTGCAGCAATTTGTGAAGGCAGTGATTGCTTATCAAAAGAAGCTTAGTGGCTCAGTAAGTGTGATCAAGTCACCAAAACTTGATCAAGAAGTGGAGAAGAAGAGAAAAGTTCTAGTTAAAAGCTTCTCTCTTGCTAGAAATCTATATGTGGGAGGCCGTGGAATGCAACCCTGTAAACAATCTGAACTTGAAGTTGGAGCAGAATTTCTTGAGGTACAGCTATATACACACACACACACACACACAATTTGTTTGATATTTCATTTTTTGTCAAGTAAGATACCAAAACTTGAACCTTGTCCAAAGATTAATGATATTTTATTTACTCGGGTTATTATTGCAATATCTATGTTATGGATTGTGATATAAACTAGGAGCACCTCAATCACTAAAGCATTAAGGTGGTTGCCTAAGACCCATAGGGATAAGGTTCATTAAAAGGGTTCATTAATTTGTTCTTTAAATTATATTATCTCCAATTCTGTATTGCAAATTCATATAAAGCATTTCTTCACATTTAATTTAAAGCATATACTCTTTTGGATTCTTGAATTCATTTGATCTACTTCCAATTTTTTATAGCAATTAAGTTCATATAAAGCATATACTCTTTTGGGTTCTTGAATTCATTTGAACTTGATAAGATTTTTTTTTTTAAAAAAAAAACTTAATTTCGTCTAAACTTTTACTTTTCTCCATGCCTTATAAGGATGACTACGCCTTGACCCAAGGATAAGGTTGTGTCTATTGTGATCTTGAGGTCACGAGTTTCAAACTGGAAACAATGCCCTCTCTAGAACTTACAATGACGGGAGCTCATACCTTTTTTTTTGGTTACTTAATTAATAAAATTTTCTACCACACACACACACACACACACACACACACACATTTGATTAATATAGGTTGTGTGATTTGTTTGCAGTCAAACACAGCCTTGAGCTTGCAATATCTATGTAATGGATTATCATATAAATATGAGCACCTCAATCACTAAACCATTAAGGTGGTTGCCTAAGAGTCTAAGACCCATAGGGATAAGGTTCATTAATTTGTTCTTTAATTTATATTATCTCCAATTCTTTATTGCAAGTTCATATAAAGCATTTCTTCACATTTAATTTAAAGCATATACTCTTTTGGATTCTTGAATTCATTTGATCTACTTCCAATTTTTTATAGCAATTAAGTTCATATAAAACATATAATCTTTTGGGTTCTTGAATTCATTGAACTAGAATAGAATTATTTTTTTTAAACCTAATTGAACTTTTACTTTTCTCCATATCTTATAAAGATGACTGGCTTGGTGCAACGATAAGGTTGTTCTTTTGTGATCTTGAGGTCACGAGTTTCAAACTAAAAACAATGCCCTTTTTAGAACTTACAATGACAGGAGCTCATACCCTTTTTTTTCTTTACTCAATTAAAATTATTTTCTACCATATATATATATATAAACACATAGGTGATTAATATAGGTTTTGTGATTTGTTTGCAGTCAAACACAGCCTTGAGTCTGCAACAAGAGAACAGGCTGAAGCAGATGGGTGCAACAGTGAGGAATGCATCATCCTACTTGGACAGATTGGAGTTGAATGGGGAGAGAGAGAGGCTAGCTAGAAATATGATGGGGAAGATGTCTGTTGAACAGTTGTCAGATCTGACGTCATTCTATCACATGATGGGGCGTGTTTGTTCTGAAGTTTTGGAGAAAAAGCTTTCATGGCGTTGTCAATGAACTTGGTCCTCAATAAGATGTCTCCATTCTTTCTGGTTCCACATGTTGAGGGCATGCTTGGTTGGCACCTGGCAGATAGATCTCACCTGTGTCTTTTTGAGGAATCACATGAAGCTTGAATGTTCTTGTCTTTTTATTAAGTTTGTATCTACATTATTATTTTTTTATTTTTTTTATTTTTTTTCACTTTATTGTAAGTTTGTCACTATATTTCCCCTCCTTTTTTTTGGCAATGATGATTATGAAAAATTAGATTTGCTTCTTGTATTTCTTTTGCTTCATAACTCTAATCCAAGTGGCATTCAAGGGAATTTGGAATAGAAATATTACTCACATGGCCTGGAACTGGACATAGAAGCTTTGCACATAGGAGGTTTTGTGTTCGACCTTTTTTGAAACAGCGATAAGTGTGGCTTGCGGGCGATTGCTCATATTTGGGAGTTTACTTGGCAACCACAAGTCTAAAGTCCGGTGGTTGTGAGGATTTTCACGTCATTTAAAAAAGAAAAAAAAAAACAAAAAAAACACTCATTGTTTAAAAACTTTTTATTATTATTTAATAAACGATTTACTTCCCTGTGGAGATTTAGGTGTGGTGTAATAAAATTAAAAATTAATTATTAAAATTGTAAACAGTATAGATTGAATTTAAATTTAGTAGTTAAACTTTAATATTAAGGAACCGTTTTTTTTTTTAAAAGGTTATTAGAGAACCATATTTCATTGGTAAAAGTGGGTTAATAAGTGTGAGGATGTGAGTTTGTTGATCCAGAACCAAGTTAATGTGTTAGCTAGGCCCAATTGTTGTTTGGTCATAATCTAAATGGGCCTGATATTGACTAGGTTAACGCAACCTTGAGCTATGCAGTCGCAGAAACTTGGGTGGGCTGACCTATACCTTGTCTGATCTGGGCTGGCATAGGTGGATATTGTTGGATCTACGTAGTCTGTATTTTTTATTTGGGCTGCTGTCGAGTTTGGTTTCTGTGGGCTCTTGGGAGGGGTGCTGAATGAGCCTTGGTGGATTTTAGAATGCTCTGTTCCAAGCGGCTCAACACCACCACTGTCGTCAAAAAAAAAAAAAAAAAAAAAAAATGCATCAACTCCAATTGACCATCATGATTTATGCTGTGTCCTGCAGATATATATATATATATATATATATTTGTATGAGTAATGCTATTTTTATCAAAAGAGACTTTTCATAACACGAGTCATGAACTCTCTATATTTTTTTTGAAATACGTAAAAAGTTAAATAAATCATTTAATAAACCTTTCAATCTAGAGTTGAATGTAGAGAGATCATGACATTACACTACATGTATGACGCCCGGTGTTAGAGGTTGAGGATGAATGAGCTGTAGGGTGCATTCGGATGATTGATATATCACACTTTATAGAAATGTACTATCCAATAAAATTTGTTCGACTTGCTTGTAAAAATGTTTATAATAAACTAATATGATATGGTTCATTTTCATGTGATACGAGTAGTATGCAAGATTAAGAGCATACTCAACCGACTTGCTCAGAATAAGAGAATATTGGTAATTGCTTGGAAGATTTCTGTTAAAAAAAAAAAAAAAGCATGAAAGATTGAGTAAATTAATTAATAAAAAGAAGATATACATCAAGAAATGAAATTTGTAGTATTTGACTGTGTACCATTGAAGGGCCTGGACATATATTTAAAGGATGTTCTAGAAAAGTCAACGGAATAATAGATTAATTGGCTTAAATAGATCATTCCATCAAAAATTGACAAAGGTATATTTTCCATTCATCATTTTGCACGCCAGAATTGATTTTCCTTGACCCTAATATAATGAACATAATGCATAAATGGATCCTAGAACAACATTTAAAGACCTAAAAATTCTTGACAAAGACTCTAACAACATAATTCGGACTAATTTTTATTTTATTTTTTTATTGAAAAAAAAACCCCTTGAAAATCTTAGCAAAGAAAATTCTAGACGATGATCTATACAAGCTGACCGTCACACCTAAGTGCATCAAATACAATAAAACACTAACTTCTTACATAGTTAAAGAACAAGGAAATTTCAACAAATCACAACATAGGAGTCTTAGGTCACAAAAAGCAAGACTACGAGTGAAGTGGGTGTATGAAAATACGCACAGTGTTATGGGTCAGAATACATGTTGGCGTGCCGTGTTGTATTCGTGTCGATGTAATTACAACACGATTAGAGTCGATACGAATACAACACGACACGACACGACACGATTATTAATCGTGTTTAAGTCCCTTAATACAAACGCGATACGATTATTACATGTGTAACATAACACGACATGACACGCGTAATCTGTTTAATAAATGAGTCAAGATTTGATACGATATGGTACAAAAATACACGTTTAAGTCATTTTTTACACAAACACGACATACTTATTTTACACATTTAGCTCAATGGGTCATTTTTGACGCGAACAAGACACGTTTAGTTAATCGGGTCATAATCGTATTTACAGGGTCAAACACGAACAAGACACTTTTAGTCAGTTGGTTAATTCGTGTCGACACGATTATGATACAAATACAAGTAGCCCGAATTCAAACCCTCTTATTTCGTGTCGTGTCAAATATTATCACATGTGATAGAGCCTTAGATTATAAATGTACTCAAAATGTAAAAATGGTACCCACTTAAAAAAATAATGTAATTTATGTAGGACGGTAGATAAAATAGTCACAAACACATCTTTCAGCGTAAAAGAATGACTAAAATTCAATCCATATTTCGTATACGAAACGCGTTTGATAATGAAATTTTGTATTGTATTGGACCAAGTCACTCACCTTCTTTCCAACGCAGCTTCCACTTAATTATATGAATACTTCCACAACATTGGCTGAGTCTTATTCTAATTAAATAATCATAGTTGAACACAACAAATAAATATCAATTCCCATTCCAAGTCCTCCCTTTGAACCTCAGATCTATAACCCCTCTATGAAAACCGTGTAGTTTTCAAAAATTCCACAACTCTCTCTCTCTCTCTCTCAAAAAAAAAAAAAATGAATCCCCAATTCTCCATTTTTGCATTCTTGTTCATAACCTTCATTTTAATCCATATCCCAACATCTTCATGTGCGGATGATGAGCTATATGTGAACTGTACTCAGCTGCTCCAGTGCGGAAACATACCGGACATCGGCTACCCTTTCTGGGGAGGAACCCGGCCGGAGTACTGTGGTCACCCCGGGTTCGAGCTCACTTGCCAGACCGATGCATCCCTGCTCACAATCAACTCAACAACATACCGAGTACTCGCAATTCAAAACACATCACGAGAGCTCACAGTTGTTAGAAATGAGTTCTGGAACAACACTTGTCCCACAGATCTCCACAACTCCACCTTAGACACAACAAATTTCACCTACAGCACCAATTCACAGGAGTTGACGCTCTATTATGGTTGTCCTGCTGTTCTCACACAAGTGCTTCCCAATCAGTTTAATTGTAGTAACTCCATAAGTTATTATGTGACTAGTAGTGTTACATTACCCAACTCTATTAATGGCTCTGTGACATGCGCTACCAGTGTAATTGTTCGAGTCAATCAATCAGCAGCTGCGGCTTTGGCAAACGTCACGCCATCGATAACTATTGGAGCAGCTCTTAATGGTGGTTTTGGGTTGCAGTGGTCGGCAAATGATACGTATTGCAGCGAATGTGTTGATTCCGGTGGGCGGTGTGGGTACAATTCGAGTACCAGTTCGTTTGCTTGCTTTTGCTCGGATCAACCTTATGAGTTTAAATGTGGTATGTGCTCCTCCTAATCTTGATTAATTTTTATGCATATACGCAATTTTGTTTAGAAATGAAAAATAAATTGGAATGTGAATGCTATCGTGATAGACTTATTTTGTTTGGGGACATGAGGTATAGAGTTTCGGTGTAGGCGAATTTTAGATGCCTTTGAAGTGCAATTCATTAAGACGAAGATGGTGTCGGACTTCTTAGAGCATTTTCATAATCTAATATCAAATACCGTCCCGTCTTGCAATTATTGGAAAAATTATTTGGTACGTTTCTTTAGGCGAATTTTAGATATGTCTTCGAAGTGCAATTCATTAAGAAAATGATAGTATTGGATCTCTTAGAACACTTTCATAATTTAATATCAAATACATGCCGTCCCATCTTGCGATTACTGAAAAATTTATCATTTCTTTGGTCAATGCCCCACAACCCCTTCAAAGGTTGGTGGATACGTGACATCTCACCTTCTTTATTTATTTATTTTCAATTAATTAAATTCTGGATCTCACAGCCGGCTCTTTTTTGAACGTTTGGGTTCTGTTTATGTGTTTGATGTTTATTTACTAATTATAGCTATGCTACATAGTAAAGTATGTGATTATGTGATTTATTAATTAAGTGATATCACAACTAGCGTTTACTTTACATTTTAAATGTCTTGGAGCTCTTTGAATTAGTTGGTTAACTCATTCTACTAATTAGGATTTAGGAGATTTTAGTAATTTCTTCTAAATAATAACTTAGGGGAATTAGCTGGAACAACCCATATGTGTGCATGTATCTTACTTAATAAGAAATAAAAATAATAAAAAAATACCAAGAAGTTTAAGCCACCTTAATATATATGGAAAACTGAGCACGAGGTTGATTGGGATGTGTCTCGAGAATGCACTCGTCCGCCATTATAGCTTGTGAAAGAAAATATCTAATATGTGTCTAATACACGGTATACGGAGTGCACCGAATACCTATTCCCCTTAGAGATTGAATATCCATTGCAAATGGTCACATAAGCTTCTTCTGTTACCAACGGCTACATGAATAGTCCTTAGATTGCCTTGTATGGGCCTCTTTAAGTGGTCCTTGTTTTCGGCCTGTCTCGTAGTTTTTGTTAGTTCTCTGAACTTTGTTGGGCCTAATGCCTTGTTTGCTGGCTATAGTCCATATGCCATTTTAAACATATTTTAACTTTTATACAATTGCTTGAAATTTCGAGGAAAAAAAAAAAAAAGATAGTAATTAACTCTTAACGAACTAATAGATAAATCATGTTCTGAATTAGTAATTAAGAATTTTTAGTCGAAAGTTGATGAGTGAGTTATTTGCACAAACCCACACTTTTTGAATTTTGTTTGCAAGAATTTGAAGTTAAAATAACAAATTCATATGGTTTCAAAGAAAACCTATTTTCATGCCTACAGCTATATGCAAAAAAAAGTATTTTAAATTAAAAAAAATAATATGTACTATGATTAAAAAAAAAACAATACGTATATAGATGAGCTATCATTACAAATATTATAATTTGGAGCTGCCAATCTTGGCATCTTATTTGGAACTCAAAGGTTTGACATATTCAATTTTTTGTTCCTTTGACTCATTTAAAATGCTATTTAGACATGGCATATAATTTTTGTTCTCTCTCTTTCAGCTAAATTAACAGTTGAGATAATATATGGTATGATAAAAAAAGTAATAGATAACGTACATAACTCCTAGATTAGCTGTCATTTGAAATAATACTATAATTTGGAGCTGTGTTTTTGACGCCATTACTTGAATCTCAAAAGTTTGACGCTTTCTATTTAAGCCACCCTTTTGGATCACATGAAAACAATAATTTCTTTTTTATATTATATTGGAGAAGACCAGAGTTGGTAAACAAATCGCTAGTCCATGTGCCCAAAGTTTTTTCTCTAATTATTAGATAATTGTTTATGTACTAATACTATAATAATAATAATAATTATTATTATTTTGTTGTTGATTTGTATTACTAGTAGTGTTTTCCTAAGACAAATGGAAAAATGGAAGGGAGAGACTCGTGTAAAATAAGTTTGTCAACAGATTTTTTAAATTTCAAATTAACTTGAAAGTATGATAATCGAATTGTGATGATTAATTCTAAATTAAGTAAGACCAACATTCTGAGAATGCAATTGTTCCGGTCTAAAAAAAAAAAATTAAAATCTTCTTTATAAAAACTACAAAAATAAAAAAATAAAAACGTAAATAAATATAGGACTGTTGTTTATTAACTAAATGTCACCAGATCTCCTAAAAGGATAAAATTAATTGGTGTTAGAAAGGGTTTCAACCTTGTACTTAAACCTTGTGTTTGTGACGGTCAGTCCACTGTCAGGTACACTAGTCACAAAATTTATTAAGATTGAATCTTGACAGTCTCGCCAACACTATTATGAACTTGTGCAATACGTAGTATAACTTTATAATTTGTTTAAATCATGGTTCACCGTATCTGCCGATACGCAACCCTTTTTCAAGAGTTTCAGTCGCGGTGTAACGGACTCGGATATGTTATAAACTAAATCAAACCTTTACATAAATGGACCAAACAAGTGATTGTATTCAAATCTTGATTCGCAGTCGCAATATCAATAGCAATCGCAATGTAACAGACTCGAATAAATATCGACATGCCAAGTCCTCGAGTAGTTGAAGAGTCTCGTGTATGTCCAACCCCACAGCATTGAAAAGTTGAATACCAACTTTGAAAAAGCAAAGAAATGTGATGGATAGTGATAACCCTACCATATTTCCTTTAACAAACAACCTACCTCATATGTTGTATGGTGTTTTACATTGCAACTAGGACTGAACTTATCCAGCCCCCATTGTGAAATACTTGTTTTTTTGTTTTCAATTTTAACCATCCCAAAATTCATGTTTGAAAAGTTACCAAAAAAATTTCAAGTTTTGAAAGATTTCCTGAATTGATAATAGTATGAAATTTTAAACTATAACGGTTGGTTTCGGAATTTCAAAATGCATTATTAGTAAATGCATCTCAGCATGTCCACTTTAGAAGTTATTAGAATCCCAAAAAGGAAGAACTAAAATGGGATGAAGGGAGTAGAAGATATGGTACATATAGTACAAAACTTTGATTGTACCTATCTACCTTCGTAAATGTTGGCTTTATTTTATAGCAATTAGAGCACCATTTTTTTTGGGAGGCCGGAGGGTTTGCTGAATGATTGTTCTTTCTTTCAGTCTCGACAGTACTCAGAATAGAAGCATGAAATCCTAGTTATTTCCCCTAATCCTTATCAATTTCTTCTGTTGTTGGTCCTCTCTGTGGAGCATAGGGTACTTGAAAAGGAGTTTTACCCCATGACTAATTGCTAGTTAAATGTGACATCCTGTCTTCCCACAGGTCCTCGTTAGTCATTATACTTCGCTTGACTTGTTTGATTCCAAAGCATTTCATCTGGTATTTGTAGTAAATAAAATTAGAAAAGAAATAAACAAAATAAAAATGAAAAAGAGGGGTTTTGGTCAATGAAGTTCTAGTGATTTCTTTTTCTTGTCGGTATGAGATGGGTTGTTACGGGTTTTGGTCAATCAATTTCTAGCGATTAATTTTCTGCGTCTGTATGAGATGGGTGGTCCCCAATTTGCTTACACTGTTTATCAGTTCTAATCTGGTTTTATGGTCCCTCGCTCTTCTCTTTGTTTTCTTTATCTCATAAAGTACTCTCTTTCCATCCCGGGAAGACGTCACCAGCTTCATTTTGCCTTCAGCTCCAAGATGGTGATGATTGTAAAGGAGGAAAGGAATCTATTGTTAAATGATAATTTTTTTGCATTTTTTTTATATCTCATTTTGGCGATATGAAACTGCTTTGAAGTTACCACGGTTACTCCTTTATCTTGTTGGAGTTAACTGCAATAGTCATTTTTGACACGAACATGACAAGTGTAGCTAAATGGGTCATTTTTGACACGAAAATGATACGTTTAGTTAATCGGGTTAATCGTGTTATAATTGTGTTTACACATCAAACACAAACACGACATATTTAATTAGCAAGTCAATTCGCATCGATATGATTACGACACTAACACAAGTAGCCCAAATCCAAATCCTCTTATCTTGTATCGTGTTAGCGTGTCGTGTCAAATATTACCACCCCTACACATAGCGTTAGAGCATAAACGCACACAAAATGTGAAAATGGTAGCCATTTGAAAGAATAGTGTAATTTATGAAGGATAGTAGATAACATAGTCACCAACGTATTTTTGAGGGAAAAAGCATGACTAAATTCAATCACGCATTTGATAATGTAATTTTGTCTTGGATTGACTAAATTCAATCCAGCTCCCGGCGGTTCATTCATCTGACCGTAAACTAGAGCTACTTTTGATTCCGCAATATTTTGTTCATTAATCACTCCGGATTCTTTCATTTCCATGTAAAGATCATTTCCTTCGCGAGTACGTTCACCTACTCCGCCAAATACAGATACACCCCTATGAGCTTTGGCAATAGTGTTAATCAATTCCATAATGAGTATTGTTTTACCCATTCCAGTTCTTCCGAATAGTCCAATTTTTCCTCCACGTCGATCAGGAGTTAAAAGATCTACTACTTTAATTCCTATTTCAAAAATAGATAATTTTGTATCTAACTGTATAAAGGTGGGCGCAAATCTATGAATATGAGATGTTATGCGAGTATTTATAAAACCTAAATTATTAACGGGCTCTCCAAATACATTAAAAATTCGTCCGAGAGTCGCCTCACTAACCAGAACAATCGAGTTAGAGCTGTAGTTATGAGTGCGACGGATTGTCTAACGAGAAGAATGGAAGTGGTTGTTCTTGTCGACACAAACACCAGCATGACTAAATTCAATCCAGATTTCGTATAGAAAACGCAATGTAATTTTGTATTGTATTGGACTAAGTCAACCACTGACCTTTCCAACACAGCTTCCACTTTCTTTGAATACTTCCACTAAATTGACTCAATCTTAATCTAAATTAAATAATGATGGTGGAATAAAACAAATAAATATCAATTCCCATTCCAATTCCTCCCTTTGAACCTCAGATCTATAACCCCTCTGTGAAAACTGTGTAGTCTTCAAAACTTCCACAACTCTCTCTCCAAACAAACAAAAAAAAAATAAAATATATATATATATATATATATATATATATATGAATCCCCAATTCTCCATTTTTCCATTCTTGTTCATAACCTTCATTTTAATCCATATCCCAACATCTTCATGTGCCGATGATGAGCAATATGTGAACTGTACTCAGCTGCTCCAGTGCGGAAACATACCGGACATCGGCTACCCTTTCTGGGGAGGAACCCGGCCGGAGTACTGTGGTCACCCCGGGTTCGAGCTCACTTGCCAGACCGATGCAGCCTTGCTCACAATCAACTCAACAACATACCGAATCCTCACAATTGAAATCGCAACATGGGCACTCACAGTTGCTAGAGAAGAATTCTGGAACACCACTTGTCCCACAGATCTCCACAACGCCACCTTAGATACATCAATTTTCAACTACAGCACCAATTCACAGGACTTGACGCTCTATTATGGTTGTCCTGCTGTTGTCATGCCAGGGCTTCCCAATCAGTTTTATTGCAGTAACGCCATAAGTTATTATGTGACTAGTAATGTTACATTACCCAACTCTATTTATGGCACATGCAATACCAGTGTAATTGTTCGAGGCGATCAATCCGCAGCTGCGGCTTTGGCTAGCCTCACGCCATCGATAAGTATTGCAGCAGCTCTTTATGGTGGTTTTGGGTTGCAGTGGTCGGCAAATGATACGTATTGCGAAGAATGTGTTGGGTCCGGTGGGCGGTGTGGGTACAATTCGAGTTCCAGCTCGTTTGCTTGCTTTTGCTCGGATCAACCTTATGAGTTAAAATGTGGTATGTGCTCATCCTAATCTTGATTAATTTTTGTGCATATAGGCAATTTTATTTAGATATGAAAAATAAAATTGGAGTGTGAATGTTAGTGCGATGAGCCTTATCTTGTTCGAGGATATGAGGTATAGAGTTTCGTTGCACCCAAATTTTAGGTATGTCTTCAAAGTGTAATTCATTAACATGTTGGTGGTGTCAGGACCTTTAGGAAACTCCCATAATTTAATATCAAATACATACGGTCCAGCCTTTATTTGGCATATTTCTTTAGTCAATGCCAACAACCCCATTTAGGGTCGGTGGATACACGACATCTCACCTTCTGTTTTTTTATTTAGGGTTAATTCCACCTATACTCCTAACCTTTGACCATATCCCACTTACACTCCCTCTACGTTTTAATATTTCATCCACAGGCCCTAAGAGCGACGGCCGTACCCTTAATTAACAAAAATATGTAAATTTACAGTATTGCTCATCAATTATATATTAATATTTATATAACAAGCACCACTGGGAAATGCATTGAAAAAGAGACTTCCTAATGATAAAATTTAGGGTGAAATACTATTTTACCCTTAAGGAATCAATCTTCTCCTTTCCTCTACCTAATCACCACCACCTCTACTCTGCCAAATTAGGTTGCCAAACATGCCGTCCTAGCCAAATTTTTTCTTTTTCTCATCATATAAACAGAAAATTGTAAACTCGTGGGAGGCTGGTAGCAATAAATTGTTCCATATATTTGCAATAATAGTAACAAAATCAACGAAGTAAGGATGTTTGGGTGTACGTGCTCCCTTGCCAAGACCATCCTTGGAATTATCAAATGCTGTTTTAGTGATTAACCTCAAACCAGAGGTTAGAGCCCCTGATGCGGCCATACCAGCCAGGAGAGACTGAAGAATACAAAAGAAGAAGATTGAGACCCATCAAATAAATAAGGCGCTACAAGACTTGTTGAACTTGAAATAAGCTACCACAGATACCAACTTGAACAAACTCATATAGCATGAATGAGAAGGTTACCATGTCTCTGGCTGTTTAAACGGTGGCTATGGAGAACGTGCTTGACGATCAGAACCCCACCATTTTAGGTTGATGTCGCCGTTGTCCTCACGTGCTCATCGGTAAGAGACGTTGCATCTCTGTTCAATCCTCTTCACCGCCGTTCAGTTCAGACCCATTTCTCGGAGCTAAGAAGCTAAGAACAGACCCTCGTCGCACATCTTTGAATCGCCAGTAAGAACAGTCTAGTCAAAATCCTTGGTTGCCGCCGTCCTCGTTGTAGCTATTGTGGTCGCCGTCGTCCTCGTTGTCAAGGGCAGATCCAGCCTTTCTAAACGGGGTGGGCTAATTTTGGACTGGGCTATCATTACTATTTTATTTTATTTTATTTTTTTTATTTTATTTTTTATTTTTTTTTTAGGTTGGGCTTAAAGTAGTATGGTAAATTTTTATTTTATTTTATTTTTTTTTGAGGTGGGTAGAAGCCCAGCTTCGCCCACCCTTGGATCCGCCCTTGCTCGTCGTGCAGTCCTTTTTGCTCTTCAATTCAGTCAAAAAATCAAGTTCTCTACTGCCGTCAATTTTGCCGGTCTCGAGGCAACATGGCCTTCAATTGTGGCCACTGTTCCGATTCGATCCTCCATTAACGCCATATCCCACAGTCGCCGGAGAAATTTTATTCGCCTTCGCGTTTTTAGTCCTTGCTTATTCGGCATGTCTCTCGCCGTTTGGTTTTCTGTGGCCACTGATCAGACTTTAGAGCATAGGTTTGCGGTTAGTCGCCGGGTTTCTCATATTGCCGTTGAAATCACCGGAATCTACCATCATCGCAGTATATAAGATTTTCGTCAGCAACTGGTAATGGTGGTGGTGATTGGGAGGTGGGGTTCGCCCTAAAAAAAAAAAAAAAAAAAAAAAAATCCATCCTAAAATTTATTTAATAAGATAAGGGTAGTTTTGTAACTCTACAACGATCAATGAGGTTAAGAATGTCATTTCAGTTATTGTGAGGGCAAAATTGACCTTATACCCTTTTATCCTTCTTGACATTAGCACTAACCATCTATTATTTAACAGCTGGGGGTAACTTGTTACGTATGGTCAAAGATCAAGGGGTGTGCGTGGAATATTGAAACCTAGAAGGATATAAGTGGGATATGGTCAAAGGTCAAGGGTGTTGATGGAATTAACCCTTTAATTTATTTTCAATTAATTAAATTCTGGATCTCACAGCCGGCTCTTTTTTGAACGTTTGGGTTCTTTTTATTCATTTGACGTTTATTTAATAATTATAGCTTATGCTACATAATAAAGTAATTAGGGTTTAGGAGATTTTAGTAATTTCTTCTGATTAATAACTTATGAGAATTATCAAGAACAATTATTTCTCATCCGTCAAAGTATCATTATGAATGTATGCACGTAACTTACTTAATTAAAAATAAAAATAAAAACTTAATGTCATAACAAAAAATACCAAGAATTTTAAGCCACCTTAATATATATGAAAAACTGAGCACGAGGTTGATTGGGCTGTGCCTCGAAAATGTACTTGTCCGCCATTAAAACTTGTGGAAGAAAATACATAAGATATGATGTGCCCAATACACAATATATCGAATGCACTGAATACCTACTTCTCGTAGAAATTGAATATCCATTGCAAACGACTACGGAGTATTTGAGTAGTCCTTAGCTTGCCTTGTATGGGCCTCTTTAAGTGGTCCTTGTTTTCGGCCTGTCTCCTAGTTTTTGTTAGTTCTCTGAACTTTGTTGGGCCTAATGCCTTGTTTGCTAATAGAGTCCCTATGTCATTTTAAACATATTTTAACTTTATACAATTGCTTGAATTTTCAAGAAAAAAAAATGTTAGTAATTAACTCTCAACGAATCAATAAATAAATCATGTTCTAAATTAGTAATTACGAATTTTTAGTCAAAAACGTTGTCGACTTGATGAGTGAGTTATTTGCACAAACCCACCACACTTTTTGAATTTTGTTTTGCAAGAATTTGAAGTTAAAATAACAAACTCATATAGTTGTTTTAAAGAAAACCTATTTTCATGCCTATAGCTATATGCAAAAAAAATTATTTTACATTAATTTTTTTTTTTTTTTAATATGTGCTATGATTAAAAAAAAAAAAATACGTATATAGATGAGCTATCATTACAAATATTATAATTTGGAGCTGCCATTCTTGACGTCTTATTTGGAACCCAAAAGTTTGACAAATTCAATTTTTTGTTCCTTTGACATATTTAAAATGCTATTTAGACATGGCATATAATTTTTGCTCTCTCTCTCTCTCTCACACACAGCTAAATTAACAGTTGAGAACTTGAGATAATATATGGTATGATTAAAAAAGTAATACATATGGTACATAGCTGCTAGATTAGCTGTCATTAGAAATAATACTGTAATTTGGAGCTGTCTTTATGACAACATTACTTGAATCTCAAAAGTTTGACACTTTCTATTTAAGCCACCCTTTTGGATCATGAAAACAATAATTTCTTTTTTATATTATATCGGAGAAGACCAGAGTTGGAAAACAAACCAGAAGTCCATGTGCCCAAAGTTTTTTCTCTAATTATTAGATAATTGTTTATGTATAATACAATAATGATTATTATTATTATTATTATATTAGAGAAAACCTTGAAATCTTCTTTATAAAAACTACAAAAATAAAAAATAAAAAACGCAAATAAATATAGGACTTGTGTTTATTAACTTAATATTACCCAATCTTCTAAAATTAATTGGTGTTAGAAAGGGTTTCAACCCTGTACTTAAACCTTGTGTGTGTGACGGTCAGTCCATTGTAAGCTACACTAATTGCATAACTTATTAAGAGTGAGTCTTGATTGTCCTGCCAACACTATTATGAACTTATGCAATATAATTTTATAATTAAATTAAATCATGGTTCGTTATATCGCTTGATACGCGTCCCTTTTTTAAGGATTTTATATCGGCTGATTTGATCAGTTTACACTAATTTTGTCCGAAACTGTTACATTGTGATCGCGACCGATGTCGTAAATTATGGTTTAAACTTTGCTTGTTTACAATAGAATATGAAATGATTAAATAGTAATCATATACATATTTGTTTTTGCTTTTTATGGGACAATTGTGGTATTGAGCTCTTTTACTACGCCGTTAAAAACATATCTTTCTTTCCATGACAAAAAATTTCAATTTAAAATAGTCTATATAAGTATCATTCCTCTAATTATATTTTTGATATGTTATAAATTAAATCAAACCCTAACATAAATGGATCAAATAAGTGATTGTATTCAAATCATAATTTGTAATTGCAGTATTAATTGCGATAGTGTTAACCCTAACATTCCACGCGAAGTTGTCAAGTAGTTGAACAGTCTCATGTATGTTCAACCCCCCACAGCATTGAAAAGTTGAATACCAACTTTGAAAAATCGAAGAAATGTGATGGATAGTGATAACCCTACAATATTGCCTTCAACAAACAACCTACCTCATATATGACACAACAGTCTTAAGGTCAACTAAAGCCACCCTCCAAATTATTATTCAACTTTTAGAATACCAACTACTTCATTTAGTAGTAAATAATCCACCTCTCAATGACTCTTCACTGTCCACAAATGCCTCTCTCTCTCTCCTCCACTCTCTCTCTCTCCTTCTCTACACTTGTCACCGCCGTCCTCCTCCTCTTCTCCGCCCACCTCACCACCTCCTCCGCCGCCGACGATGTCACTTACCCAAATTGCACCAACACCTTCACTTGCGGTTCCCTCCAAAACATCACCTACCCGTTCACCGGCGGCGACCGCCCGGACCACTGTGGACTACCGGATTTCCACCTCAGCTGCCGCGACAATATCACCGAGTTCACCACCAATTCGGTGACCTATCGTGTTCTCCAAATCAACCAGAGTGAGAAAGCCCTAACCCTAGCCAGGTCAGATCTATGGAACAACACTTGTCCCCGGAAATTCATCAATTCCACTCTCAATTCTTCGGTTTTCGATACGAGTGTGGGGAATGTGGATCTCACCTTGATCTACGGCTGTTCTTCGATTCTGACCGTTAAGCCTCTCAATCTTTTTGGCTGCAATGTGAGTGGTGTCAATGGTAGTGATGCGTTTTACTTGAATGGGCCGGTTCCGAGTGATCCCGTACTGAAATTATTTGCGTGCAATGTTAGTGTCACGGTTCCGGTGGTCGGAGACGCCAGCAAGCGGCTCGCCGGCAACCGGACGACACTTGGGGAGGCTTTGATGGAGGGTTTTAATGTCAATTATAACGATCCCTATGATAAACAGTGTTTGGAATGTATTGGGTTTGGTGGGCAATGTGGATTTAGTTCGAATTTGGGCGAACCTGTTTGTATTTGCGACGGCGATAGAGTTTGTTCTGTACCAAGTCCTGCAACAGGTACTTGAACTTTTTTTTCTTTTTCTTCCTTTGGTGAAACTGCAAATATATATAGTTCTTAGTAAGGCTTTTGTGATGATTCATTGTCGTTAGAGTAGAAAAAACAATCAAGTTATTAATGACTTGGCTCACGTGCAAAATTATACAAGATCTTCTTTAAGATCGATCAAGCAATTCCATCATCGAATTGTGTATGATTGTATGTTTGATAGCATCTACAATATCAGGATAGCATCTACTATATCAGGAATCTCAATGAACCCAATTATTGCAATTGCTTAGGATACCCTTTTGTAGCTTCTGGGGCCTATATCTTAGTTCAAGATCCGTGTTACTAACTGGAATCGAAGAATTAGTGGATCTGTTCTGCCCAAAATCGGAATTGGCTAGGGTTAGAGAGTATATTATTGAACAATAGGATACTACTATTGAACAATAGGATACTACTATTCTGTTTTTTCATTTTCATTTTATTGGACAAAGAGGTTCTTATTAATTTATTGTGTTTGTTCCTTACATAGATCTATCTTTATGTTGTATGGTGTTTTACAAATGCAACTAGGACAGAACTTATCCAGCCCCCATCGCGAAATACTTGTTTTTTGTTTTGTTTTTGTTTTTTCATTTTTAACCATCCCAAAACTCATGTTTGAAAAGTCAAAGAAAAAGGTTGCATCTTTTCCAAAAAAATTCAAGTTTTGAAAGATATCTTGAATTGATAATAGTATGAAATTTTAAACTATAACGATTAGTTTCGGAATTTCAAAATGGCAATGCATTAGTAAATGCATGTCAGCATGTCCACTTAAGAAGTTATTAGAATCCCAAAAGGGAGAACGAAAATGGGATGAGGGAGTTGTAGATATGGTACAAAACTTCGATTGTACCTAACTACCTTCATCAATGTTGTCTTCATTTTATAGCAATTAGAACACATGTTGAAACTTCTGATTTTGTAATTATTTGATGTATCAAGCACCTTTTTTTTGGGAGGCTGGAGGGCTTGCTGAATGATTGTTCTATCTTTCAGTCTTGACTGTACTCAGAATAGAAGCATGAAATCCTAGTTATTTCCTAATCCTTATCAATTTCTTCTGTTGTTGATCCTCTCTGTGGAGCATAGGGTACTTTAAAAGGAGTTTTACCCCATGAATAACTGCTAGTTAAATGTGACATCCTGTCTTCCCACAGGTCCTCGGTAGCCATTATACTGACTTGTTTGATTCCAAAGCATTTCATCTGGTATATGTAGTAAATAAAATAAGAAAAGAAGTAAACAAAATCAAAATGAAAAAGAGGGGTTTTGGTCAATGAAGTTCTAGTGATTTTTTTTTCTTGTCTGTGTGAGATGGGTTGTTACGGGTTTTCGTCAATGAATTTCTAGCGATTACTTTTCCGTATCTGTATGAGATGGGTGGTCCCCAATTTGCTTACAGTGTTTATCAGTTCTAATCTGGTTTTATGGTCCATCGCTCTTCTCTTTGTTTTCTTGATCTCATAAAGTACTCTCTTTCCATCTTGTGAAGACGTCACCAGCTTCATTTTGCCTTCAGCTCCAAGATGGGGTAATGATCAAACATTTTGCACAACAATGATCAATGGTGATGATTGTAAAGGAAGACAAGAATCTATTGTTAAATGATAAAATTTTTGCATTTTTTTTGATATCTCATTTTGGCGATATGAGACAGCTTTGAACTTACCATGGTCCTTTACCTTGTTGGAGTTAACTGCTATAGTCATACAATAACGACCTCTCAAACATACTTAATTAGATTAAGAAGCAATCTTAAGTTGTTATTCTACAACTAGTATTTTAGGTTAAAGTTTTCTTCTCCAATTACTTTTGAGATATTGTCACTTGCTCCCCCTTTCTTGACAGGCAGTTTGGAGTCTTTGGACACTGACTAATAGATAACAAAATGTGGAGATGTTGAATATGAACCAATTTGGGCAATGCAATATGAAACGGTGTCCCACATATTGTGATAAGCAGAATGTCATTTACCTGTGTATCACCCTGTTCTATATTTTGATTCGGTCATAAATGTTTCAACTAATGTTTCTGCATCACATCGTTCTTGCAGGGGGTTCTGGTACTCAGACAAATGTGCCACTTACAATAGGTATTTTGTCATTCTGTTAGAAACAGTTTCTATTTCCAACATTGTTAGTGGCTCGGAAAAGAAAAATTTTACTCTTTTCTTTCACTTTCAGGTCTTGCCCTAGCAGGTGCTGCCATTTTTGGTATTGGCGTAGGATGGTGTATCTTCTCTTGGAGACAACGAAAGAAAAGAAGACTAGCTGCTCAATCTGACCAAACTAAAAGCAAAGATTCTTTGATTCCTTCTTCAAGCAAAGCCCCTACTACTGTTCCTTCAACCAATTTATCTCAAAGCATTCCATCTTATCCCTCTCTGTCCTTGAAGTCGTCTGACCTTGAAAAGGGGAGCACCTACTTTGGAGCTCATGTCTTCAGCTATGCTGAACTCGAAGAAGCTACAGACAATTTTGACCACTCAAGAGAACTTGGAGAAGGTGGCTTCGGCACTGTTTACTATGGTACGATGATAAACCTTTGTATATCTCTGTTAGTTTGCTATGTAACTAGGCATTTGATAATTGTCTCTTTTCTGAACTGTTTGTATGAACTCTGTAATCAGGCAAGCTCCATGATGGCCGTGAAGTTGCAGTGAAGCGCATGTTCGAGAACAATTTTAAGCGTGTAGAGCAGTTTATGAATGAAGTTGAGATCCTGACTCATTTAAGGCACAACAATCTCGTGAAGCTGCATGGATGCACGTCGAAACGAAGCCGAGAACTCCTCCTTGTTTATGAATATATATCTAATGGAACAGTGGCTGATCATCTTCATGGAAAACAATCAAATTCTGGTTCGCTTTCCTGGCCTGTTCGGTTGAGCATTGCCGTAGAGACAGCTGAAGCGCTGGCTTACCTCCATGCATCAGATATTATACATCGTGATGTCAAAACCAACAACATTCTCCTAGACAAAGATTTTCATGTAAAGGTTGCTGATTTTGGGTTGTCCCGACTGTTCCCCACCGACGCCACCCATGTGTCAACCGCTCCACAAGGTACACCTGGCTATGTAGATCCCGAGTACTACCAAATCTACCAACTCACCAGCAAGAGCGACGTTTATAGCTTTGGGGTGGTCTTGATTGAGCTCATCTCATCAAAACAAGCCGTGGACACTAATAGACACCGGCATGATATTAATTTGGCTAATATGGCCATCAGCAGAATTCAAAATCATACATTACATGAGTTAGTCGATCCTTCCCTCGAGTTTGAAATGAATAGTTCTGTAAGAAGGATGACCACGTTGGTGGCAGAGCTGGCATTTCGATGTTTGCAGCATGAGAATCAGATGAGGCCTTCGATGGAAGAAGCGCTGGAGGCTTTGAAAAGAATTCAGAGTGAAATGTTGAATGGACAAAACGCAGAGGTGGTGGACATTTTAGTGGATGATGTTGGGGTTTTAGAGTCTAACCTTCCCCCCATGTCACCAGAATCAGTGGCGACAGAGCAAAGGGGTAGTGAGTCTACACCTCATTCTAGCAGTTGATGTTTTCTTAATTTTTTTTTGCTTGAATGTTAAATGTAGTGTAATAGTATTGTTAATTCTCATGATCAGATGTCGCCGAGACACCGAGTGGGTTAGAACTTAGAATCTCATTGTATTTTTATTCTATTTTGTTGTTATATAGTAGATAAATATGATGCATCTTTTTAGAGATACAAAGCTTAAAGGAAATGTACATTGCAAATGGAGCTGTCAACAACCTAATTATGTTCATATATTGAATTTATTTGTACACATGGTTTGTTGTCGTATAATTCTTGTTTTAGTCGCGATATAGACTTCGGTAGGCAAAATATCGATTCCGCTCTGCATACTCCGTTTAATTGCGATAAACTTGAAACTGTTGAATTAATTCCTGTATTTAGGATTGAATACTAAGATCTTAAATCTTTGATCGATTCTTGAAGATTGAATCACGTGCACAATTGTGGAATTTTAGTAAGTAGTGATTCTAGTAAATATTTAGTCAAAATATATTAATGGACACTTAGCTTAAATATATACTTTATATATATATATATATATATATATATATATATATAATCGGGTGTGGGGGTGGGTTGTGGGCATCACTTAATCCGCCCTCGCTCCAAACCCTCTTCGGGTTTTCAATTCTTTTATTATATTCGCCCCAAATTCATTTATGGAGCTACCAAATCCGTCCCATTAGAAACGGAGCGGGACGAAAACCCAGCAGGTTGGAGAAAATTGCCATCCCTAACTGTTTTACCCAGCTTTTGAGTTAAGCTCTTCTAGGAAATGAAGTGCACTTTTTAAGCAAGTACTCGGAACAGTCACAAATTAGGGAATCAATATAATTCTCATACAAACTTCCCCCAAAATATATATATATCTATATAAAAGTCTCATACAAGACTGTTTACTCTTTTTTCTCCTTTTTGTGTAGGAAAAATTCATGTCGCCCAAATCTAGATCGTTAGAGGAACCTTGCATTGTATTTCGGGTATGCATCATTTTTTTTTTCCTTGCGTGTTATTGATTAAGTTTAATACTACGTAAGTGCTTATTACGTGTGATAATGAAAAATTACACATCATTTGGAAAGAAAATTTCAACTAAAAAGTGTCTAAATTTTAGACTTTGATTCAGGTTTACAAATTTATTGTTAGTTCTCAGTTTCATAAATTCAACTTCTTTACTTCTTCGGGATAACTAATTCAATATCAAAACTTCTTGGTGTGAAATTCTATACACCTATTGCATTTTGCTTTTCTCCTGCCCAAAGAAAAGGAAGGGAGAAGGGGTTGACTTTCGAATTTTGTATCATTATTCTTACCTTATTTATGATAGGTCTCCAATATTTTATCGAGATGGTATTCCATGGTGTTGGAACCATTGATCCCGCGTCAATTACCATTAGAGTATTAAATACATAAATAATTGTGTCCAAGCTTTTTACTTTCATGTCTAATGACAATTGGGCAGGACCAATGGTCCCGAACCGTCTAAACATTTCTCATATTTTATCCGCCATTCACGCCGCAAGTATATAGAAATTGACAAATATTAGCTGGTCCAACAAGTCAAGACGCAGTAGACTCAGACGGTGTAGTCTTATAAGTTGGACTTCATCTACCTATGAAAAAATTCATTTGTGCTTATTAGCTAATGCATTGTCTTCTTTGCATCAAGTTTCACCTTAGCATTTTTTCTCATTAAATTTGGCTTTTCTCACCGGTGTGACCAGAAATATTAGATAGCGAATTCAGTTATCACAACAATGAATACAAAGTGGTGGTTTAGGCAGCGGCGGATGATGGTGGTTATGGTGATGGTTTTATCGATGTTAGATATGACGATATCTGACCCACAAATTAATATTCTCAACAAGGCATGCAGCTCTTCCGATGCCACCACAGAATTCTTCAGGCTCTTGAACGCCACCTTTTTGGATGTCGGAAGCCAGCTTTCCAATAACAAATTTAACAATACACACTTTTCCACCACACAGAGGTACAGTTCGTCCTACAATGTTTATACCATGTTTCAGTGCAGGAACTACCTCTCTACTGCTGATTGTATTGCTTGCTTCGATGCCGCGGTGTCTGAGATACGTACCTGCTTGTCTTCCATCGGTGCTCATGTCACCTACGATGGCTGCTTCCTTAGGTAACTGTCATTTGCTAACTTGCCTCGTTTCTGTTCTTCTGTTCTCTTGGAACAAAGAATTAATTCACTCGCTTGTCATTTTGAACTTTCGAATGGTTTACAAACTCTAATACTCACAAACCAAATTTACAATTGTCCCTCTCTTAACTTTTTCATTTTGAATTTATCACTTTACAGCTTCTAGAATAATGCAAATGAAATGAGCTGAGTCGAACCAACTCGTGTTTGTAGCTTAAGTCATGTTCGGTTCATTTTGAGATCGTTCAAAAGAAATTACAAACTGGTGTGTGAGTTTGTTTTTTTTTACCTTTGCTATTGGTTGGGGTCTAAAATATAAGATTTTTTTTTTTATTTTTATTTTTTATTTTTTATTTTTTATTTTTATTTAGTAGGTAATAATATAAAGAGATAAAAATTTTGGGACCTTGGTCGTGGCCTTAGGGACCGCCTAAGTGGCCCAAGGCTCTGGCCGGTCCTTCGCGAAGTTTTCTGATTATCTCATGAAGTTTCTCAATTTGCTTCTTCTGTAAAGGTATGAGAACTACATTTTTGATAACCAGCCGGCTGTAAGGGGCAGCAATATTAGAAAATGTGGCGACCAAATTGCATCTCAACCAAATGCTTTTGACGAGGCAGTAAAAGCATCATTAGCAGATCTTGAAATCGCAACACCCAAGATTAGTGGTTTCTTTGCAGCAACAAAGAGAGAAGTGGCTGGTGGTAGTGCAGCAGTGTACGCGGTGGCACAATGTGCTGAAACACTAACTGAGAATGGTTGCAAAGATTGCTTGAACGTGTCATTTCCCAACATTCAGAGTTGTTCACCCTACACAGATGGTAGTGCTATTGACATCGGGTGTTTCCTAAGGTACTCGGAGACCCCCTTTTTTGCAGATAACCAGGCAACTAATATCACCAGTTTCGTTGGAGGAGGTGAGGCCTAGTTGAAGAAAATAAATATTTGACATGTGGCATACCCTTTCGTTACACATATTGCTTATTTTCATTACATCTAATTTTCTAAGTACAAATATAACATAAAAATGTAGATATATTGTTAGCTAGTTACAATATTCTGTATCTATCACAAAGTTCCCCTAACGTTATGGTTGTCCGCAAAGATTATATATCTTCCTTTTCCATTATTCTGTATTACATTTGGAACTCATAACATCCTTTTAGTCACCCATCTAATTTTCTACCCTAATGTAACAGGATCAACGGGTGATAACCAGACAATCCCTTTCCTTGGAGGAGGTAAGTCCTAGTTGGAGAAAAAAAATATTTGACGCGAGGCATGTCCTTTCATTACATATATTGCTTATTCGAGATTATAATTCTGCTTCTAATTTTCTGGTTCTGATCCATGTATTTTTCTTACTAAGTACAATTATAACATAAAATGTAGATTGTAGCTAGTTACAATCTTCTCTATTTTATTAGAAATTAAGTCCTATCATAATCTTCCTAACTTAGAACTCATAATATCCTCTTAGTTATCCAACTAATTTTTAATCCTTGTGTTACAGGATCAACAGGAGATCGGAACAATAGGTTAAAGATTATCATAGGTAAAATAATAACAGAAAAACTAATCTCTTTGCTCCTCACAATTTATTTGAGTTAAACTGAGCTTAAATTATTTTTGGTTTGCCCCAACAATTGTTTGAAAGAAATTTACAAATAGCCACAAATTCTAAGCATCTTTACTCATCTATAAGCCCAATTGAGAAAATGGTTTATTTAGTAAACTATCTGAATACATGACCTACCTCCACTCCTTTCATGCAGGAATCTCAGCCGGTGTGTTTGGACTTATATTAGTTTCTGTTCTCACGATCATCTGCTACCATAAAAGAAATGACTTGTCAGGTAATTATGCAATGGTCTTCTGGAGGAAGAAAACAATAGATGATGGAAATGTTGATGCATTAATAAGGAACTATGGCTCTCTTACTCCAAAGCGGTAGCACTATTTAGATATTAAAAGAATGACCAACTCATTCAGAGACAAATTAGGTCAAGGAGGATGTGGTGTCGTGTACAAAGGAAAGCTATTAGAAGGCCAGCCTGTGGCAGTGAAGATCTTGAGCAAGACCAAGGGAGACGGAGAGGAATTTATCAACGAAGTTGCTAGCATTAGTAGAACTTCCCATGTCAATGTAGTCACTCTTTTGGGTTTCTGTTATGAGAGGAGTAAAAGAGCTCTGGTGTATGAATTCATGAGCAATGGATCTTTGGACAAGTTCATCCATAATAATGGATCTCTGAATTCAAATTGTCCTCTAGATTGCAATGCATTATACCAAATTGCAGTCGGTGTTGCTCGGGGGCTAGAGTATTTACACTGAGGCTGCAATACAAGGATTGTTCATTTCGACATAAAACCTCATAACATTCTTTTGGATGATGAATTCTGCCCCAAAATTGCTGATTTCGGCCTTGCTAAATTAGGTCAAAGGAAAAAGAGTATTATGTCGACGGTGAGTGCAAGAGGAACTGTTGGATACATAGCTCCAAAAGTATTTTATAGGAGGTTTGGAGGGGTTTCTCATAAATCTGATGTGTATAGCTATGGAATGATGGTTCTTAGAATGGTTGGTGGAAGAGAAGATATTAAAGCTGGAATAGGCCATTCAAGTGATGTATATTTTCCAGACTGCATTCATGAGCAGTTGGAACGCAATGAGGATCTAAGACTTGATGTTGATATTACTGAAGAGGACAAAGAAACAAGAAGAAAAATGAGCATAGTGGGTTTGTGGTGCATTCAGACCAATCCTGCAGATCGTCCATCAATGACTAATGTGGTAGAAATGTTGGAAGGAAGCCTTCAATCTTTGAAAATTCCACCTAAACCCATCCTATATTCTCAGCCTTGATTGGTACAAGATTCTTTTACATCATTACCCCCAAAGTTCAAGTTCGGACTAAAAAAAATGGGTTTTCAAATTGTGTGGAAGAATAATATCAATAAGTTCTTTGGTGGTTATCCTAGCTTTTTCTTTTTGATGTGCTTTTGGCTTGATACTTACACCCTATGTTTGTTTTTTTACTACAATTCAAGATACTCATATATACAACAATCTCGTATATACTCATTTCTTTGCAAGAATTTCAAGTGATTTATGTCTTACTATTTTCTTGAAAAGAAGTTTACACCCATTACATTGTTTGGCTACAAAATCCGCTTACCATTGTGAATGGGGATGTGCCAGAGTCGATGAGGAAATAAAATGGAACAGATACAAGCAGTATGCTTATACTATGATCACGAAAGGCCAAGAAGGTTGCGCAGTTATTAAGATAAGTGGACTTGTGGTGCATAGATATTGATTCAATAACCATTCATCCATTTTTCCATCCTTCCAACCAAACGGAAGATAAGTGTCGGCCTTCAGCGAGTAAAGTTGTGGATGTGTTATAAAAGATCTATGGAGCTCTTTTAGTTTTTCTTTTCCACATGAATAATCAAAAGTTCAATGAATTTCCTTCAGCATGCTAATTTTATAGATGAAACAGAGAAATCTTAGTATTACAATTGATAGGGAAAAATAAACCTAACTTACCTTGACCAGTCACCAGACCTCTTCGACATATTTCGTTATCAGAGATAAAGATTTCCATCGGATAAGAATGATGACATTTCTTATATAGGATAATGAATGACGACGTAGTTCAATAGGGTAAGGATAACTTGGGCATAATTTGAGAAAGTTAAAGCAGTAAATCATATTCTCGACAAATCTGGCAACAAACGATCTCCTCTGATCTCGTATAAGCGGATCTCCTGCGGGACCAACTTGATTCCAATCGACAGCCATAAATAGGGCACCGAGCCGTTAAAGAAGGTACGAGAAAAAACCCCTAAACAAAATATTACATAATGATTATGTGATACGATTATAAGGACTAACTTGATCGTCGGAGGGTCCTCGGCTGGCACCCCACTGGTGCCATTCGAGGTGACGTCCCTTTGTTTTGTAGGTAAATGCCATCGTTCCGAGTCGCGAGGATTTTTGCATCAACAGCTGGCGCCGTCTGTGGGAACCGATTAGTTTTTTGAAGAAATAATAATCCTGACACGACTTGGCTCGGATGGCAAGACGAAAGTTTCGGATCATAGAAACCATCCCAAAGTCATCAGTTGACAACGGATTTCAATGTTCTTATATAAGGACGGATCTCTACATCATGATTACCCGTCCATCATATTAGGGGCAAAACGGTGGGTTGCGTGATGCCACCCAGTGTACGATGACAATAATAAAAATTTGGCACGTCGACCTAGGTAGTCTAGTGTGGTGTTTTCCATCTAGCGATGCTTGGTCCCCTCATTACTGAGGTTTGGTCATCTAAGACCAAACTTTATATCATATCTGGCAGCAGCCAACTACCAAGGCCTGATCGTTGAAGACTAAGGCCTAGTTCTTCTGCACCTATATAAGTGAGTTGGTCTCCACCCCTCCAGAGGATCACTACTAATAAGGGGGTTTCTATCTACTAGTAAAGCCTGTACCACTGAGGATGTCTCTAGCAACAGAGTCTCGTTATTCCATCCGTTCGTGCAATTAGGGTGGCCTTCTACACCCAAGAATGTATCGAGGCCTTCAGGTCTAAGGAGGTCTAATGTCCCTCCAAATCCCATGAGGTCTATATTTCCAAGGAGGTTCCTAAGTGAAGGGCGATCATTGGACCCAACAAGGTACTAGCCACCAGACCATCATCTGTCAGCCGTTGGGTACCACGCCCCCATCACGCCAATCGCTGGACACCAAGCCTCTACTTACCAGACGACAGTCGTCACCTCTCTTCCTTTATAGGAATTGCCTATCGACTTCAGATTATACAGAACTTTGGATTGATAATCCATCGCAGGTTAATTTTCAGTAATCATTCAAACACAATTTAATATTTTTAGACAACTGTAAATTGTTTGAGCACCAGGCACCCCGTCCGTTGTATAAACATCTATAGAATGGGTTATCACCCAAGATCCCACCATCGGGGGCAGAATAGTGGATCACACGATATCAATCGTCGATATGTATATGATGACAAGGTCTAGAAGATTGACGTACCAACCTTGGTACATCGAGCTAGTCGGGTTTCTAGTCTCTCTCCTTTAGTGACCCCTCGGGGGCACTAGTCGTCCAGGATGAGAGACCAACAACACATTCTTCCCTCATTAAAGGGATAAGAAGCCGACTACTCCTTCTACACAGAAGGGTGAGATAATCAAAGCTTTTTTCATTTACTAGAAAGACGAGATGACTACCTCTCGTATTAAAGGGGTCACCCTCCTTTAGACTGCACCTCTTTCCCCATAAAGGAACAAAGGGTTAACTTCATTTTCTTCCCTCGGTAAAGAGACGACGGGTTAACTACTCCCTTATTAAAGGGAGAGCTCACAACGCTTGAGCAAATCCATTTCCCTTATTAAAAGGGGCAAGAAAGTAATCATCAAGCATGCTTAGCTCAGTAGGACTTGGCATTCCCGACGCTTAACAAAAATCTAATTCCCTTTCTAAACGGATATAAGGGATGATAATGAGTGTCCTGTATTAAAAGGACATAGGCTGAATGAATCTCGTAATTAATATCCCCGTACTATAAGGGATGGTAAATAATTGTCCTATACTACAAGGAGTCGGGCTGAATGAATCCCGTAATTAATATCCCTGTACTATAATGGATAGTAAATAAGTGTCCTGTACTACAAGGACCCGGGATGAATGAATCCTGTAATTAATACCCCCGTACTATAAAGGGATAATAAATAAGTGTCCTGTACTATAAGGACCTGGGCTGAATAAATCCCTTAATCAATATCCCCGTACTATAAGGGATAGTAAATAAATGTCCTGTACTACAAGGATCTGGGCTGAATGAATTCCGTAATTAATATCCCCGTATTATAAGGGATAATAAATAAGTGTCATGTACTACAAGGACCCGGGCTGAATGAATCCCGTTGATGAGCACTGAAAAGTACGCATTTAAACCCGTTAAGCTTAAGCATTCTAGTACCTTTATTTATCTTACTTTGCCGTTTTAAACTTATTACGTGTTATTTATATTTTCAGGCACTAATCCCAAAATTGAGCTAACTCAGCCAAATAAGAGCTTAATTGAAGCAATCCTGAGATAAACCAAAGGAGGGAGCAAAGTGGAGAAAGCAAGGAGCAAAAAGGAATCAAAGTTGTGCAGCTGAAAAGTTCGATCGATCCAACTTAGAGTTCGATCGATCGAACATCTATGATCGATCACAGTACTTCTCGATAGATCCAACCTTGGCCTTTGTTGAAATTCCAAGTTCGATCGATCCAACATCACCTTCGATCGATCGAACCTTATTTTGTCCTATTCAAATGATTGATCTTATCCACAGCTGTACGCCTACCAACCACTTTTGTCCTTTTCCCCATAAATATCTTCGAAATATCTCAGCCTTGTCCTTATCCGGAGGGGTCAGACCACTTCGATCGATCGAACCCATCTTCGATCGATCCAAGTTAAGGTTCGATCGATCGAACTTCCTCCAGCGAGAAAAAATTAAAGTCTAGCTCATTTATTCCGTCCTTCACCCAATCATTGGAGAATATGCCTTGCACGACCACAGCTCATCATAGGGTGTATTTGACCTACCTATATAAGGACTATGATACACTTTTTGGGGGGGAGTCTAGAGTCTCTTGTCACACATTGAAAATCATCTTGGAGACTACTCTTGGAAAGGAAGAAGGGAGGAAGCTAGAGCACCATTGGAGGAGATCTTCACCAACAAGGAGCAGCCATGGAGTTAGCCCTTGAGGGTTGGATCATCACTACCATGAGTGGCTAGACATCTTCTTGGGGCTAGAGTTAGCCCCAAGCATGCTTTCTATACTCTAATCTTGTGTATTATTGAGGGATTAGTGTTGTATGATACATCTTGATATTCATGTATATATAAATCTTGATTATTTCA